GACCCTTTTATTTTGCTGTGATGGAACAGATAGCTCCCTATGAAATAGTGTGAAATTATCATGTCTATTAATTCAGTCAGACATCCACGGCTCTTCGCTGCTCCCCCTCTTACCCCCGCGTCTCTCTCTGTCTTATTCCAGCTCTTATCCGTGGAAATGTGTGATTTCCTAGCAAATGCTGCATTTTACTAGAGTGATTTTTCAATGTTGATTCGCAGAAAAAAAAGATAAAGGCTAACATTGGGGGTTAAAAACATCGCGTGTTTATGCGCACAGTACACAACACAGGCCCATAATGGATGTTTGGACTTTCTAAAGTTGCAGAAAATAAACTGTGTATGTTTGTTAACCCATCATAGAAATATATATACTATTGTTCCTTTATCGAAACAGCTTTTGTAATGACAAAAAATGTCAACATTGAAGCCAAATAAAAACTGGTATACTGTCGATTAAACACCTGCTGTTTGCGCCACAATTTATTCTATTTCCCCCCAAAAGTTCCACTTCAAATGTGTTTACATTTACGGTTTGACACACTTTTACTTCATTTCTTGGAAGTGTTATTTTGAGACAAAATAGATTTTCAAAAATGTATTCTTACAAATTTAAAAAAATAATAATAATTTTCCAAAATGCTGGAAAAAAGGGTCTATTATCATTAATATTATTAGTAGTATTTTTACATTTTATATATTATTCATATTGTTATTATTATTATTATTATTATATTTTATATAATATTATTTGTGTTAATTTATTTTTGTATTATTATTTGTAGTTTTGAGTAGAAGTACTATTACTGTATTTTTACGTTATCCTGGAGGTCATATTATAAGTTGTAGAGTAAATCTGACTTTTTATTGGCCCTAGTCTTTTTTGATTTACTGAAATTGCTTGGAGCTTTAAGAACCATCTGGGAAACTCTATCTCATGTCATTTGTCACTTCATTTTTGTCTTTTCCTAACAACATATTACAGCCACTGCTCTGCACAAATCCAAGCAACTCATAATCAGCTCAGTCAACTCTCTGCTTGGGTGAGCGAGTTGATTTTCCCCTCCTGACTGAATAATGTTTGGTGCTCAGAATCTGTGAGAAATCTTCAAAATAGTCTGAGGCGCTGTAAAAAATAAATAAATAAATAAAAAATCACCAAAAAGTCATTTTCATTTGCAGTCATTGCTCATGCGACCGTTTTGCCAATACAGCCTGCCAACGTGCTGCACTGTCAATATTAATGAATATGGAGCTCCAAATATGATGACCTGACAGTAACTACAACATAACAACAAACGTTTTTAAAGGATGTGGCTGTGTGCTTATGAAGCGTGAGGGTCTGCTTTGATAAAAGGTCTGAGGTTTGATACAGAGAGAGAGAGAGAGAGAGAGAGAGAGAGAGAGAGTTGATTGAAATGGCGTGTGCCTGGCTGACGGGAGCCAGTGAGGGACAAAGCCCCTGCGAAGCCACGGCCACTCGAGCAATTATTCCTCCACGCTGCATTTGGATTAGTGCAATGGAAAGAAGCATATGTTTGGCCCGGGGCGACACTCCCCCCCTGGCTGACTGCAGAGGATGCAGGGAGAGAAAGAGGGAGAGAGAGTGACAAAAACTAGAATATAGAGTGCATTAACCAAGTGGGGAAACATTAACACTATTTTAATCCGCCCTTTTTCGTGCATTTCAGGAAACACAAGTCCATGAAATTGGAAGAAATCAGTGTTTGATATGTGACAACAATGATGACTGATAAGTGATGTCACAGTGCAAAACCCTTTGTTTATGTTAATAATGCCTTTAAGAAACCATATTGTTAAATAAAAAATAACTTTAAATGTCTGGTGTGAATGTGTCCGTGTGCAGATGTTGCAGAACTAAAGAGTAATCAAAACCCTCTCTCCCTTTTTGTGAATGAGTGTGTGAGCGGAATAATCGAGCTCCTTGCAGTGCTCCAGGAGTCGCGCTGTTTATTCAAAGTCATTTAATGTTTTCTAATCGATTACCTAATGTCTCAAGTAATCAGGGCTGATTTGGTGGAGTCGTTGACCTCTCTTGGCTTCTGAGCTCTGACTCTCAGAGTGGGCAATGGAGGCCCATAGGGGGGGTCAGCAGCCAGGCGGGGGGGTGGGAGGCAAAATGACCCCAAACTGACGGCTGATCTCAGAGTTGAGGACAATTAGCTATTTTGCGCTTCATTGCAAACTTTAGAGTCCCATAATTCGATTCCACCAATAACCGTATCAAATGTCATTTAGAGGAACCCTCTTGCCCAAGCCACTTATCAGGGCGGCAGTTTGAAATGCACCGTGGGTAAAAATGTGATACAAGCAGCTCTAATTGGCAGCAGAATGTCGATCAATAAACGGAGCATCTGTTTTATCAATGAGGGGAAAGTTTCCATCTTTGTGTGCACACTTATCTTTTGCAAAAAAACATTTTTAATTGATGCGTAATAACTCTTTTAACGCTCCCCCTAACCTCCACCACCCTCTGCTTTAATGTCAGCAGGACATGTGGGCTAAAATCAAATTCCAATCATACCAATGTAACATTTTTGGAAGCACAATGAGTGAACAAATCTGGCCCTTGTAGGCTTTTGCTCTCAATCTTCCCGAGCGGGCAAAGTAGCTCCAAAGCTTTGCCTGCGAGCGTTACAGTGCAGACTGTTGTAGTGATGGTGCTGCGGGGTAATTAGGCCATGCAGACACTCCTTTCACCAAGCATTGAGCTCAGCAGCTTCAGCTACATTCTTTCTGACCACAAACATGGCTGCTAGCATGAAAAAAGTCCAAGGCATACATGTGGGTGCAGCAGTGCAGCTGGTGGTGGATGAAAAGTTGCGTCTGATGCGCAACAGTCGAAGGCAATTTACATGAAAAATCAATTGGAAGTATAAGCACATATGCATTCATTCAGATTTGATACGAATCCTGGAACCAGATCATAAAATCTCTAAATCTAAATCTTTAAATTTCAAGTGAGTTTTGTGTCACATGACAGCGCACACTCCATTTACAGGCAGCCTGTCCTTCATTACGTCTCTGCAACAAACTATAAATATCAACACAGCGACAACCCAGTGAACCCTTTCTACTAGATAAATACTGTGAGAAATAAATAACAAAATAGTACACATTATGGGCTTCACTGTCTCCCTGCAGAAGACGCTTAATCACACAAAATGTACTTTAACCCCTATTTTATTCCGCATATTCTCCACAATATTTGATAACAACAGGCCTCACACTTATTAATTACTAAACGGGAATCAGCTGTAATTGGTTAAGTTGAGACAAGCAGCAGTTAAGGATTGAATTAGTTAAATTCAGCAGGGTATTGCTGACTGGCTCCTCAAATTTCAGACCGTCTTGTATTTTTTTTTTTGTGTGTTGCATAAATGGCTTTCGCTCTGAGGCATTATGAGAAACTAGCTCTACCTGTTTAAGATCAAATTAGGGTAAAATTACAATATGGTATTAAAATGGGATGCAAATTATAGGCTAGTATCAGTGTAAACAAACGACACACAATGGGATTTTGAGTTTCTTTTAACACTTCCAATTCCATGACGCAGACAGGCACAATTACAGGCCGCGATCCTCCTCATCTCACACTAATAATACGCACAAATATCCACCATTGTCACAGATATAGCACTATTTCTAATGCGTTCGTTCTACCCTTCAAAACCCTGTTTTCATTCAAGCAAACCCCGATAAATTTATTATATAACATTAGCATTAATGACACACGTGAGGGGCTTCCTTTTGAATGCTGGTTTAATACGATTGTTTTCCCCCTTAAAGTGACTATTTATGCTATTCCCTCCTCACATCCAACCATAGCAGGAGCAGCCGGGTAGTCTCTCCCCTTTATGAGTGAGCTATTGTGCCTGAGGACAGGATCCCACACACACAATCTGAAGCCTGAGCCAACAAAAACAGGGGCCTGACAGACAATGCCTCGCTTCACCTGCTCCAGCACTGTGCATCGCAATTATGCCAAGGACATGTACAGTTAGGCTTCATTCACCCTCCTGCAAAACAACAACTGCCTCAGAATTAAAGCAACCACGGCCCGAAAAGCATGCTGATAATAAATATGGCTGCAGAGATTGGAGGGAGGAGGAGCAGGGGGGTGGGAGGAAGAGAGGCAGTACAATATTTTAAACTGCATGGTTACCAGAGAGTGAAATGGGGAACGCAAGAAACAATACCAAGATGCATATATCACCACTCTGATTCATGCTCCACACGAGATTGATTTCGAGCTATAGGTGCCAAGCCATCAATATACAATCAAACTCAACTCAAATGTTATGCAACGGGCCTGTTCTCTGCAGCCCTGCACGCGAAATAAAGCAAAGGCCAGCGTCAGATTTGCTTTTACAGCCAGCGTGATAGCCACATATATATATAGTCCCAGTCAGCCAAACACAACGAAAGCAGACTAAATACCAGCCAGAACAGGAGATTGCTTATGAAAGTATTATAATTAAAATGTGCATAAAAAGCCAGCATGGTGAGCGCTGATTGTTCGTTGATTACACTGAGAGGCAAAAAAAAAAAACACAACACATATTTGGTACATGTCTTTGAATGCAGCAAAGAATAAACTGGGGTGGTGGGGTGGGGGAGCCAAATATAGCCTATAACAACCAAACATTGCACACCAGGCCTGTATACATCTCAGAGGGTTTTAGCTGGAGGGGTGGCGCTGCGCACTTCAAACGCGCATCCATCCATTGTTGTGAGCCATTTGGCCTGCATAAGATCCTGTGCTCTGAACCAGGGAGTTTAAAGTAAGATTTTTTTTTTATTATACTTGAGGGAAACAATGAGTTCAGCTGCTTATTGCAAGGAGCAATCGTCAGGGGAGACTTAAACTCAATTACTGTAGCCGTTCAGAATAGGAAAAAATACAGAAAGAAAGAAAAAAAAACACCCCTGCGTGTCAAGCAGTGAATAAAAAATTAAAAGATATGAATAATAATCGAGATGAAGCGTATCAAATATTTATTTTTTTTCTGGGCAACAAAGGACTATAATACATTGACAGGCATGGGAACTATTGCCAGCACATGTCTATACAATACAGCTAAAACCGCCTCCAATTTTGGACATTATCGGACAGAACAAGATATCAGGTGGTCCCAAAAAATGTTTTTTGAATGTCTTCCAACATTGAAAAAAAGACAATATTCCATTTATTGCTTTTATGGTGCTTCAAGGAGAGAACAAGAGGTGAAACGTATTCTGATTGGCACAACACATAAAAGCTTGTATAAAAACGAAAATAGAAACACAAAAAAAAGTTCTCCTCAGGGTCTCACGTATGTTCTGTCTGAAATCAAAACAAACTGAATAAGGATGATATATATAGAGAGAAATGGAAGTTTTATTTCTATTCAATTTGTTCACTTGCTTCAATGTCGCCTCAACATGCTACAAGAGGGCTGAATTGAAATATCCCAGAGAAATAAAAAATACCCCAAACTTCTGTTTTTCTAAGAACCATAAAATCACATGAAGAACTAACCGAATATTCAAACCCACTAAAACAGGAGGCACCAGATAAATAAAAAAAGAAGTTTCAACAGACGCACCATATTTACAATTCCCATTAAATTACACATAAATAAATATATACATACATGAACACTGATTCCCTTATATAACCGTGAATCGTGTTGAAATTCAAAAAGTTCAAGTTGGTCGCGTGGAGAGAGAGAGAGTCTACAACTGAAGTCATGACATGGAGTTCTGTGGAATTTCTCTTTGTTTTTCAAGTTTATTATTCACAATACTGATAAGAATTCATCCTCTTTTAGCTTCGTTTTTGTCACAATCGTAAAATTGAGATATAGAGGGCTTCGCTGGATTTCAGTCCATTCGTTGCAGCTCATAAAAAAACACGGGGAGTACATAAAAAGTCCTCTGGCTGAGGCAAATACACCTTTTTCCTCCCCCTGGAGCTGTTCCTCTGCATCTTTTTTTCTTTTCTTTTTTTAAATAACATTTCATATGCTTCAGCTGTTGGAAGAAGAAGAAGATTCTTGCGTCGTTTTCCAATCAATCCAGAAGTGGGATGTAAAAAGAAAACATGTAAAACCGCGCAAGATCAGGAAGTGGCATGTTTAACTTTATCAATAGTATTTATAAGGTATTTATAATATTTATATTGGATGTGTGGGGCCATGGCAAAGGGGTGGGTCGGTGTAGAAGAAGGGGGCCCCGGGGTTCGTTTGGCCCTTCGGTGAAGATGGGATGGAAACATCACTTTCTGTGCTTCTCGTCTTTGTCTCCGCCTTTAGTGCCGTTATCTGAGTGACTGTTGGGGTTGTTGTTGAGGTACATTTTGTCCATGGCTTTGATAGCCTCGGTCAGATAGTTCTGAAGGGCCGTGACGGCCGCGCACAGTGCCGGGGTCCCGAAGCCGTGCGAGATTAGACTGAAGTGGGTCAAACAGCTCTGGATTCCCGGTTCGAGGATGGGCTGCGGCCGTGAGTTTCCCAGCGGCGAGCGGTCCTGGGAAAGGAGGTCTGTGAACTCTTTGCACACTTGCCTGAAACAGAAAAAAAATGGGTGTAAACAACCAGGACAATATCACAGACCCCTGTATGCCATGATGAATATCATTTAAACTTTCAACACGACAAAAAAATATAGGCTACAGTTGAAACAAGTCAGATTTGCTGAAAGCAAGCAAACAGAGCAAAAAGTCCTTCTTTTCTCTCGACAGATGAACTTATTTAAGGCTTATATAAAACTGAAATGTTGTTGATCTTTTCTCTTTCAAGAATACCCAGAGAAAATGTCCCGAAGCTACTAACAGGTGGGAATGAATTCCAGGGCTCGGGGTCAGATATTTTTTTCCTTATCATAAAAGAATACTTTTTGAGAGAGAAAATGAATCCAAATGACTTGTGATTGTAAAACGAAAAATATGTGCATGTAAAGTTTCAACTTTACTCTCTTTAAATAAATAGCAAAAACAACCAAAACACGAATTAATAACGTTATTCATTTCAGCTCCATTTACATGTCACTTATTTACAGTACATTGTAAATATATGTAAAATATTCCATAACGTATAGAAAACTGGAATCGTCCATTAAAAGATGAGATTGCGCGACCCACTCTCCATTTCATGCTATTGGTATTTTAATAACAGGCAAACAGGCTGTAATAAGCGGTTATAGCTGACAGCTGTTTGATTATAGCGGTCCATCATCAATATTAAATGCAGGCTTCTGCCTCGCTCTCCATTTTTATAAGCCATGCCCATGTTGCAGTAAACGCAGAGTAAAAATAACCAACAGCAATGGCAGCGGTGGATGAGACCCAGCTATGTGTCAATGTCACTGAAATCACAAGGCAAACACAACAGCGATGTGCGTGTGGATGAGAGGAGGGCCCAGGCAACACAACCAACAACAGCAGCCTACTTACAACTGCTCTGCACTATTGTCTTTATACTAGATAATAGAAGTCCAAATGAAGTGTCCGGATAATTAGCAGACATGCAAAGTGATGTGTGACACATTTGTGCGTAAAAATACATTTATTCATTTATTCGAATAATTATTATTATCTTTAATAGCTGTGTTTTAAGACTGATGAAATAAAAAAGGATGACAACATACAGTTTTATAGTCAAACATCTGATAAGTATTCACTTATTTAATTAGTTTGAAGACAACTGAAACTCCCTGACCCCTGAGAAAGAAACCAAAAAAAAGTGATAGAGAAGTAAATATTTGTTTGTGTGTGTGTGTGTGTGTGTGTGTGTGTGTGTGGGTGTGTGTGTGTGTGTGTGTGTGTGTGTGTGCGCGCGCGTGTGTGTGTGTGTGCGTAAGTGTGTGTGTGTGTGTGTGTGTGTGTGTGTGTGTGGCACAGACAGACTGGGAGATGCATTCTGTGAAATGTGATAATAGCACTTACTTTGTGGCCAATAGCATGTTTTTTCTTTGGACTTGTTCGTTCGGGTCGGAGTGCTGACGGTTTACATATTCAGCTACTGCCTTGGCTGGAAACTCGGTCTCACATACATAACCGAAATCTCTGGCAAGATGGACTGCTTCGCCTGAGAAATAAAAAGAAAAGGAAAAAAAAAAAAACAGGTTGAGTGTTTTTTCTTTATTAAATATGGTCACATCAAAATTGAGAGCAGTTCACACTTCCTGCTTGGACTAACACGTGATTAATCTGATCTGAGCAGCGCGTGCACACAGCAGGGTTACAACACCTGTGCCTCAACAACATTAATGATGATGACAACAAAAATAAAGTGCTCGTTATGATAAGAAAGAACGCCTGTGAGCTGTCAATACACGTCAGGCTCTCAGCTTCAGACCGTGAGAACGCTTAAATATGGAGCAGGAACAATAAGTGGATATGAAATATAGACGGGGCGTCATGCTTAACACCATGTCATTGATTACCAATGCCTGCACATTATTGAAAGTCCAGCAGATCACACAGGCATGGGGAAGCAATTTTAAAGGGCTATACCTAAATCTCGTTCTATTTCTACACTTCAGCTCTGAGAATTTCAGGTTTCATTCCGTCCGAGTCTAAACTCGCCCCTCTCCTCTGTTTCTGGACTTTTCTTTCCCCCCCTAAGTCTTTGGTTTTAATTTCCTGAAGCAGTTGAGTTTTTACTGCGGGGCTTCCTGCCCATAAGCTTCTGCTCCGGAAGAACGCATGCGCCAATTAGCATCAAAGCTCATGTCCAGTAAACTCGTTTCCATAAAATGGAGCGGATCATAAACAATGACAGCACTTCAGAAAACGCAGTGTCCCTTCACTAAATAACCGTCTGCCTTCACCCATCCTACCCCCCACGTGCCACCACCTCCTTATTACCCGGAATCATACACTTCTCCAGGCTCATTACAATACAGCACAGGATCTCTACCAAGCACGTTGGATTCGACTCTCTCCCGCAGTAATGATTAACAGGGACCAATGAACCATCGCAGGGTTTCACCTTTGGAAAGCCACTGCGCACCAAATACCACTGCACTGAATAATAAGGTCCAACTCTGCGAGCAAAATGGATTTATACAGTCGCTCAAAAGCGCACCATATTTTGTCTAATTTATTCTTTAATAGACCAAAAACATATCGCTCCCAATAGGTCAGCTCCATGTCATTTGCATGCAACAAAAATGTTCACCAAAGCCAAAGCATGAGAAGTTATTAACGAATGAATTAAAAACCAGGCCCATGCTGCCATAGCCAGTCTGTATTAATGTTAGAAACAATGCATGAGGGTTAATAAATCAATCGACTTCTCATCCATGGGGTGATATAGCTCAGCGGAGCCCAATAAACAAGCAGCACTCAATAATTAACTGGACTTCAACACAAATTCATCCAGTGCGTAAACTAGGCCAGCCGTGGACCTGCAAGTGCGCTCCTGAAAGCGAGGGCCAATAACGCTGCAACGCCACGAGAATCACCAGCACTCTCTCTCTCTCTCCACACACACACACACACACACACACACACACACACACACACACACACACACACACACACACACACACACACACACATCCTTCATGCTTTATTACTTGCGAGGCAAAGTCGGTCCACATTACACGGATGAGCGCATATGCTGATTTCCAACACAGAGAAAGAAAGGGAGAGAGAGAGAGAGAGAGAGAGCGAGAGAGAGAGAGAGGGGAGAAAAAAACTCCCACTTTTCTAGCACCTGATATCGCGGGAGCAACAAGAGTGAGAACGTGATTTACGGCGGCCGACTTACCTTCGACTAGTGACGTCAGCAAGGTGACGTTGGCTGCCTTGCGTCTTCCCGCAGGTAGATTCAAACCGATTTTATCTAGCTTCTCTCTTAAGGATCTTCCTCCGTTTTTGGATTTGGCCCTGGGAAAGAAAAAAACAAAAGTAACATTTAAAAAAAATATCCATATAAATGCTAGAAATGTGTATAAAGTAGATATGCATTTAGAAATCCACTAACAACACTCTCCTCAAACATGTTTAATTATTATGACCTTTAACCTAATTTAAATGAAGATATGTCAGCCTTGTTCACCTATTTTTCATTTATTTTACTTAATTAGACCGAATTTATTTTGTTTTGGCTTTACCTTGAACTAGCTTGAAAAAATAAATCCTACTGAAAGATCCCAGTCTTTTCCACATGCAGACAAATACTGTACAAAATGAATAAATAAAGCCCTACTTAATAGGCAGCACTGTTACTGGCTGCGTGTCTGCAGCAGCACTTCAGTAGACAGTTCACTAGAGACCAATGTTTTCATGTGTAATGCCTTCACTGGGCCTATAGAGCTGGGGTTGAAACAGACTAGGCCTACATTAATTTGAGGGAGAGCGAGACACAGAGAGAGAGAGAGAGAGAGAGAGAAGTTAATATGGAATTTAACAGACCTCTCCTGCTTTAAATGCAGGAGCTAGGTGTCATGGTTGGTCGATTTTAATTATTCTTGGTACAGAGGAGCGAGAGAGAGGGAGAGAGAGAGAGAGATGCATGCGCACAGAGAGACTGGATTGGAGGGGAGTGAGGGAGTTCATACACACGCACTCTTAACAGGTAGATATACACAGTATGTTTTCTAACTCACCTCCTCAGCACCCCGCCTAGCAGAGAGGCGTTGAGGCACTCGGGCGGCGAGAGGCGTCTCTGCACCTCTGCAACAGTGACCTTGTACTTGGATGTTGAGCTGAGGAGGGACAGGCGACCCGGAACAGAGCAGAAAACCTCGTTGGGGTTTACCACCCCTCCAAAAAGACCGTCCTTATTCACGGGGATGGAGGAGATGTTGTTGTGCTTGGATAAAGACACTGGACCTATAGCCAGGGAGAAAGAGAGGGATGGGGGAAGCAATGAGAGAGAGGGAGAGAGAGAGAGACCGTGCTCAGTGAATTTCATGCAATGCAGAGCCTTAACTAAATGAGAAGGGGGGATTTAGGCCCCGGATTTAGAGTTAAGCACCACATGTGTATACTTTCAGCAACAAGGACATGCAAAAAAGAGACAAATGTAGGCCTATACATGGAAATAACACCAATAATTAAAAAATATGTTTGTTGGTGCTGATTCAATCACGAATCTAAGGAAAGATCAGTCTCAGTGTCAAAAAAAAAAATCAGCAATATTTCCACTTATCAGTTCTTAATCTAAAAAGCACCAGTAAACATAGGCCATACATGCAGCAGCAGACAGAGAGAATCTCCAGTATCTGCGCGCTCATGCAGCCCATTTACGCGCTCGGCACAAAGCAACCACACCAACCGAAAGATTTGGTAAAGTCTACCTAGTCTGACATATCCTTGTATCAAGCAAAACACCGTTACCCGTGTGTGATTTCACACCGAGTGGAGAGGGAGGAGGGGGGGACTGAGCACCACTGGGCTTTCCACGGTTTTGGTGTGCAGTAACCGGAGACAAAGGGGACTGTGCGCCTTTGGATAGATCACTTGTGACATTAATGGCTCAGGGGAGCCTAATAGAGACAATAGGAGTTAAACGAACTCTTGAGATTACTAATATAAGAAGCCAATTATCATGTTGATACGCAGATAGACAGACTCAAAAGGAAAGAATGGAAAAAGACAAGATTAGAAGCAGAAAAAAGGAAGAAAATGGCGACATATCTTAGTCAGCCTGACAAACTCTTTAAAACCTGACCATCACAAGGCCTCCCCTTTAAACAGCAATTTCATCCAGACATATTTTTCATAGTATAAAAACATATTAAAGCTATGTAATCCAACAGCCTTCAACAAATCAGTAAGTGATTTTTTTTTCAAAGCCGAGAATTCCCTCTCCTTATGACAGACTCTGCTCCATCCTGCGCTTCCAACTTCCATTTTAAATTTGACCATGCAGTGTGATTGCAGCTATTGGCTTTCTCCACCACGGGATCGTCTATAGCTATAGGTCTATATCTTTGACCATCAATACCACGGGGCCTTCAAAGCCCAGCAGCTCCACTCATCTCCCCGCTGCTCTGAAACGCTGACAGTAAATTCCATCAGCGAGAAAAAAGGTGCAGTCAGTTTGATGCACTTGGAAAGCATGTAATGAAAAATAGGCTACTGCGTATTAGGATCAGTCAGGCATTACCGCATTGCATCGAGTTCTCTCGAGCAGAATGGTGAATGGTGTGTGTAGGCCTATGTGAGTGTGTGCGTGGCGGTGTGCACTGCAGCTTGCAGAAACATGCATGATATCTCGGAGGAAATTGCTTACCTTTTTTAATTACAGTCTGGTCTGGAATGTGGATTCCTTGATCATCAACAGGCTGTGACACAAATGCACAAAATGGACAATTTCAGCACAAACATACCAGCCTCAGTTCTGTGTACGTGAACGCAACTCTGGATGTTGTGCACGAACAAAAGCCCGACACAATTAGCCATAATCAGAGAACATTGAGGCTCACTAGGCCCATACCTGTTATTATTGTCCAGCGGGTTGCGTTCATGGACGCATTACACCAGATCAAAAACACAGACTTAAATAACGAAGCTGTGTCGCCCCATAATCCTGACCTAATTTTGCCCTCAGATTGGCTCCACTCACAAGGAAACTTCTAATCTAGATTGGATAGTAATTACGGCAGCGCAGCCTATTAAAGGCCTATGAACTAATTAGAGGATTATTGGTGTTTGTTTCTGATTAAAAACTGCAGAGAATACTCAAAATAAGGATAGGAGTTATTGACAATTGTAGCGCTTTTTTTACCATGAATCTTTATATTATCTGAAGCAAATCCAACAAATTCAATTCCCCTGTTAGGGTGCATGCAATATAGTGTAGGGTTATTGTTTGGAAAGCTTTATCTTTATGGAAAATGAAAAATGTAATAAAGTCAGATGACATGTCAGGACGCTTGTGGAAATACAGGCGCCTTGTTTTGTTTTATCTGTTTAAATAATATACAGGCAGACATTAAGCATCCACATGCAATACGGCAAGTAAAAGCATTATGAAAATACATGGAAAAATACATTATAAATCGAGCTTTTTAATTAAAAAATATAGACTATGGGCAACATGTTTCTCATGGAGATCAAGGGATTAATTCATAGTGCTGACATTTATTTGAAAGATTGCACACACAAAAAGCTCTAACTCTAATAAAGCCGATAGAATGGCAGGGCTTTTTTGATATGGCTATTATTAAAATAAAATAAAATATTGTTGTTATTATTATCATTAATAATAAACCAGTTTTATCATTTTAAATTAGCTTTTGTACGAGACAAACAATCAGTGCCTATAAATCAAATAATTACATTTTTAACCGTTTTATTTTCTAATTAAGTAAACCCACTCACAAAATCAAAGGCAGGTAAACGCTTCCTCACCTGCACGTCTTCTAAAGAGTGAGGTATTCCATGGATAGGGATAGAGTCTGACAGTCCCGTGTCGATGCCGTGGCCGGACGGTAGCAGCACTTCCCTGCGGTACTCCCGGCACAGCTGGTGGGGCAGGCTGCGGTGCTGGTGCAGCAGGCCGCTCTCCTGACTTTGCCTCTGGCCCGGCCAGCCCGGGTGCTGCGGCTGCGGCTGGGCGTGCAGAGAGTTGAGGGAGTACGGGTCGTTGACGTGTGAGTAAGGGTCCTGAGACTGCGGGTAGATGGGCTGGTATGGTGGAGGGAAGTACGGGGGCTGGAAGTCCGAGTTTGGCGTGTGAGAGAGCGGAGGGGCGCTCGTGTAGGGACTCTGGCCCACGCCGCCCAGCTGAGGTAGCCTGGCTGTCCCATTGCTGGTGCCGTCGTGACGGTCCTGCAGCGAAGCACACAGAGAAGAGTGTTTTAGACTAAAGACACAGACTTAAATGTGTGTGATTTACTCTTTGTTTTAACTACTCGATGCTCTGCGGCCATTATCAAATATGGCCTGAGTATGCCACAAATAGAACAAGTCTGGAATCTTTCATTCAAATAATTCCTGCTGGTTGATTTTAAACAGCAAAGTTACCATTTAAACACACTACCTGTATGTGCACAAAGTTAAATAAAAAAATAGAATAGATAGAATTAAACGCTGTTATGGAAATAAGCTTAAATAAATAAACAAGCATTGAATTATCTCAGCTTTTCCCACAGTTTGTATGCCTGCAAGCTTTACAAAACATTATTCAGCGACAAAAACAAATATCAAAAAAAAATCTGAAACACAAACAAATTCGAATTATCTGACACGCTAAGGCTCCAGCAACTTACCATCGCGGAAAAACTGTGCACTAACATCTGAAAGGATTTTTGGTGCGACTTAAGAAGAAAACAAACAGTTCAAAAAAACACTTTGAGTGTTTGAGGGGCGAGCAAAGGGATTAACCAGCAAAACCAAAAAATAAGCCCCCAGAAAAAGCCTCTTCTTTTCTCCTGTAAGATCACGCTGGCCCCGACGCTCAGATATGTGCCACAGCAGCAGGACGATAATCCATCAGAAACAAATGGTTAGATCCCCGCTGCCCTTCATCTGGGGCTAAAAATGCAGATATTCGGCGGTGCTGGTAGATTCGGGTCGAAAAGTTTCTCTCGGTAAAACCTTCTTTTTCTCCCTGCTCTCCTGGCTTCTATCACAGTGCTGCCGTCCCTTCGCCTGAGCTCATATTAGAGAAAGAGCCGCTTCTTCGTCTCCCTCTTGGACTCCTAATAGAACGCATTCATGACTATTAATATTACAGGAATACTTAATAATAAGGAAAGAATGGTCGGAAATCGGGCGTGAAGCGGAGGACGCAACTCAAGGCAGGAGTCTGCGCTTAAATGACGTCCATTGAAAGGAGGAATCAGTATATCTAATCAGAGATGGGGAGAGAGAGGGAGTGAGAGAGAGAAGGAGGGAGTGAGAGACTGTTGAGGGAGTGGAGAGAGAGAGAGACAAAAAGAGGGACATTCACTCCCGTCTGACGAATCAGAGAGAGAGGGAGGAGGGGGGGCATTTTAAAAGGGTCCCAGGGCCAAAGCGCAAAAGTGAAAGAAAGACATAGGAATGAAGGGAGGTGGACCAAAGACAGCAGAGGAGGAAGCCATGGAAGGAAACAATGTGCACCTCTGAACTGGGTGAAAATCCAGCAGACGACGCTATGGGCACTACGAGCGACTCATTTCTACCTCTCGTCCCTTTGTTTTCCACCTCAGACTCCGACAGCGAGCTGTCCTCCATGGGGCTCCTTCCTCTTCTCTTTCTCCGCCGAATTAAGCCACCGTCTCCTCTTCGACTCCCAAACCCAGTCACACTGGCTAACTTTAAACTCCGAACAGAATAGACGGAGAAAAATAAACCCCCACAGCCTAAGAAGGGCCGCGCGGATCCGGCGCTCAAACCAACTTTTACGCGCGGCTATAAAGAGCTCTTCACCTCTTCCTGTCGCGCAATTTTAAATTAAGAAAACAATACGATCTGGCCCGGCTTCAAAGGCTAATTTCATTTTTCCATCGCTACTACCGAGTAAACATTTGCCTGTAAATTAAAACAATGAGAACAACATGAGCGCAAAGGTGGCCAGCTTTTGTTTTCCTGCTCTCAGCCGTCCCTATCCTCCCAGGACACGGGCGAAAACACGTCCGACAGGCTCCTCCACTCCTGAACAAGCCCCTGATATTACTGCCAAACTTTGTCTATGCCCATAACAACAATCACTCAGTGTATGCACTTCACACATATATGCACACACGCGAAATCTAACGGCTCAAGTTGCAGCGATATTAAAAGTGAAGGGTAGCAGTCCATGTAATTCAAGCAGTGAATAAAGCAGACTCCTAAAGAGCTTCCAACTGTCATTTACTCGCAATATTTAATTTAATTTAATGAATGTTAAGCTTTTTCTTTTCTTTTTTATTAATTCCACGTGCCATTAACTATTATATTTTATGTGAGTTTAAATAGAAGACGTAAAAAATATCAAATAAATCACACGTGTGATTTCACTCATGCAACTATATTTAAATAAAATGATGTAGATAACTATATAAATTCAACTCTCACGTATAATGCAATGTAAAAAATAATATTTCATATTCTGTAATTGATATAATCTATATAAAAGTAAAAATGATCAACTCAAAAATCATCTCCAAAAATACACAAATAAAAAAGTCTCATATTAAAATAAATTTAAAAAAACACTGCTCTAATCATCTTACTATTGAATTAATTGTGTTCAGTGACAGTTGTCAAAATAATGACATATTTGGATCAAAACACATCACATCCCTAAAATAAATATCCTGGTTCACTGCAAAATCTTCACATAAAAATTAAAGAAATCAAAGAGGAGCCCCTTACCTCGCAATCTTCATATTTAATGTTATCAGTTAATTTCCAAAGCATTTTCATGGGTTGCTGAGGTGGATATTGAGTTTAGGTATCGCCTTATAGTCTTGTTTTCACTCAGTGAATTGTGCTCCCCGCTCAGAAAAACTACTTTTATTGAAGCTGTGGGCTGCTGTCTGTCTTGCGCTCTGAGGTCTCCCTCTAATGGTGGAAGTGAAAGGCTGGAGCAGCTCTGTAATAACACTGGCACAGGGCCTCATTAGCATATCAACAGCCGTTTGATTCCCCCCCCCCCATCTACACACTCACACAACACCAATGGACAGCGCACAGGTAAATCTAAAGCAGCAAGACGCCACACACGCTTATTATTTCTACTGTTCAGTCAGGTGTGTGTTTGGTAAGTGTGTGTGTGTGGGGGGGGGGGGGGGGTAGTCATGCATTGGGACCTGCAAGCACCTGGGACTGTTTCTCTTTCCGGGGTTTAGGAAAAACCAAATCAGACTCCTGAAATGCTATAATTCCAATGTGTGTTTGACTACAATTATTTTTTTATTACAGTTATTTTTGGCCACAAGTGTAATACTTTCTTTTTAGACCAAGTCTTTCGTTTTTCAGGCTCTGACGCGAACACACCATGTCTATGCAAATACAACCCTGTCACATACTTTGTTGCCAGCCTTGATTTTTTTAACTCCCAAGCTGTTATTTTAATCCCATTGAGAGCGGAGACCTTGAGATGCTTTTCTTTTAGTGTTATGTTAAAAAGGTGAGCCATTCGGAGTGGCTCTACAGGTCCACTGACTACCTGTAAGGGCGCAGGCTTTGGGGGCGAGTGTAAATAATTAACACAACAACATGGCCTTGTTTCATTTGAATGAGCTGCAGGGAGAGCCTGGCTCTGCCCTGTCGCCGGCCGAGCCTTCACCTCAGCAGGTCGTGGGTCAGCAGACAGGTCGCCAGCTCTGCAAGGCGTTGGCCCCTCTGCTTTAAAACCTGGATTACCATTTTTGGTGGAGTTCCCTTTTTTTGAAAAGCAGTTGTTATTAATGAGGGTAGACGAAACTGGCTGACAATGACAGCTATGCAGGAGTGTCTCTCTGCTGGTCAGTTGTCTGTTGTGGTGAAAGGCTTTTAACGAGTGAGAGTAAAGTGTTTATGTTTCTGCAAAGATCTCAGGTCGTTTCAGAAAACAAGGCCAGGGTGTTAGTAAAGCCAAGTAAAGCTCTGTGGAAAGAACATTATGGGATGCTTTGTACATAACTTAAAAATGTGCTATCCAATTTTGATCAACGAATACTATAAGGGAATTACATTGATTAAAAGTTAAATTTTATTTTCAAAACGCAAGACACAATTTAGAGTAATGGTCGAGCTTCGTTAGAGCTCTTTTTTGGTAGAACTACGTCATGTCGTGTCTGTTTCCATACAATTCTAATTTGTGATCAGACTTTTCTGTGGATATAAAATGCGTCCATGCAACCTATAACAACATGCGATCATCGTCCTCGAGTTTTCATGGCAAAACAAAGAGATGAGCAGTTTGACATGTTAGGCTTCATCACCGCAGACAGAGTTTACCCAAATAAAACATCTTTAACTTCGTGGTATGATCTCCTGACAGATAAAATAACACAAGAGCTCCACGCCACCACCTTTTACAGAAGATTTAACGCTGCCTGTGCACCCTCCTTCTACATGGGTCGACACTTTGACAGTTTTCACTGCTCTTCCACAGCCGTCTCTTTGTCTTAAAGTAAGCACCACATACCTGCCATTCCCCCATTTTGCCCATAATTGACATTCTTTGTCTTCTGTTGCCTTTGGAGCCTTTTCAGTCGATCCGGTGCCGTGTCTATTTCATTAAGCCCTCGGTCTCAGAGTAAACCTTTACTTTTTTTTTTACCTGGTCCGGATCGACTCACCTGGCCATAAAAACGGTGCGGGGCCACCTGGTGACGCATGCGCACTGCTCCGGGTGTGGGCGAGAAAGGAGAAACTACCTTGAAAAATGAATCAGCCTTTTTGTCTGATGCTGTGTAGGACTGTCATACTTTGGCATCTTTGCCAGATTTAATGAGCCTACTTGAGATACAAATGACGAATATGAAAGCACTTCGAGAAATCGCTGATATTCTATCAGCCAGTAACTTCAGTTATGAAAATAAAAATGCTCGTTTAAAACCAAACAAAACGTTAACACATCAGGTACATTTGAATTAAAAAAAAAAAAAAAAGACCATGCTTCATCTGTATTGAATGACAGGTAACTAAGGTTTATTAAACCCATATTCCAGATAAACTGTGTTAGGAGAGATTATTTAAAAGTGCATATGTTCAAATTTAAAGCTAATTATTTGGATAGGGGAGATCTGAAATTGTAATAAATTATGTTTGTCTTTGAATGACGTTAAAGTAAAAAGGACACACTTTCTCCTTTCTATCTACAGTGATTTGGTTTTGCACAAAAAACAAAAAACATGAATTCTCAGCGCAAATGAAACTGAGTCGAGTTAAAAACTTGAAGGTTAACTGCCAACATCATTACTTCTACACAGAAAGCTACCCTGCCATTGTGAGGCTCATTATTTATTTATCCACTGTTTATTTCTAATACATACTTATGTAGACCCCTCCGGCCATGAGCGAATGAGCTCTCCCTCTGTCTGTCTTTCACACGCGCGCACACACACACACGCACACACACACACACACACACACACACACACACACACACACACACACACACACACAGAGGAGAGCAACACGTTCGCTCACATAGGTGATAATGGTGAAGCTTAAGTCCAAAACCCCCTTTCTCCTCTTTCAAGTTTCTGACGGGGCACACACATGCCGGATCAGATGGGACGCACAGTGCGGTGAACCTCGCTGGCAGACAGCTGCAATGATGTTTTCTCACATCAAACATTTACATTATACAATATTTGCATGTATTAGAATATATGACAATTTCCTCACAACAAAAAAAAATAGTATTCGTTGTGCAGTTTCTCAAATAGATCTTCATAACTGGCTTTTTTTTTTCTTTTCTTTTTGATTTCATAATTCCTCAGAAAATCTATAGATGTCTTTGTGGTGTTAATATTTAAAACACGCCTTCATGTTTGACTTCAAAGACGAACACATTTTAACTGCACACACAATACCTGCAGCTATATAAACCTTTGCAGGACTGGACAAAAGAGAGGGTGGGGGGGGGGTCAGAAATATTGTTTGGGGCTCTGCGCACTAAGGGAGGAGTACGTTTTTAAAGCAGAGCTGTCTGTGAGTGGGTTAAAGAGCGGGGTCCCGTTTGAATATCCAGCCTGTTTGTCTAGTACTTGGTTTCAACCACTTCCACCGGAGCACCGGGCCTCCGGCAACGTACAGCTCCTTAAAACTGTGAGCTGGGTTTAACAGGCACAGGCAACGGCTGTCCCTCCGGCGCTTAGTACACCCCTTTATAGTAAGAAAAATGAAACCTTATTATACTTTAAATTATTATTATTATTATTATTATTATTAATAATAATAATAATAATAATTGTATCATAATTATACAGGGGGTTTTGGTGGTACTGTTTGTACGTTTATTTTTTGGATCTAAGTTATATGTAGGAAAAGCTTCGAGTTGATCGGATAAATTTTTTTTCAGAAAGAGTTAATTGCTGAGTTTGCGTATTTACGCACTGGTCTTGTCACCAAAACGTATTGTTAAATAGTCTGGGAAGGGTCCCTGACGTATGCCTTTACTCCCATATTGTGAAGTAACATGGGACGTGATTGGACCCACACTTGGCCCAAAAGTTATGGAAAAGTTGGAAAATCATCTCTAATTGTTTTGATATAATGGTTTTAACCTGCAAAGTCAGCCTAATTTGGCGTACGTATGAACGCTGAAGACATCAACCATCCTGTCGCCAGCTGTTAAGGTATAGAAGCCCCATGTAGCTTTGTTTAATTTATGGATTCAGTATCTGCTAAGTCGGAAGGTTTCAGGCCCATTGTATAAATTGCTGCTCTCCGCGGAAGATAAATGGTGTTCCAGCGCCACCTTGCTTTGACAGAGGAGCGAGCAAGCGCCGCCAGTGGATTTAAGACAACATTGCAAGTAATTGAAACCAAATGAGAATGTGTGAGCAGTCAGTGGGCTATTCCAGTTCGTGAAGTAGCCAAACCGATGTCAGTCAAAAGGAAGTTGGCCTGGGCCATAAATGTAAATAAATCTATTTGACAAATATCCACATTTTCATCTTTATGCTTTCATTCTCAACTTTTAGAGTAATGGGCCCATTTTTATAATGATATCCGAAAAGGGCACCAATACTGAATCACAAAACCCAAAGCTTATAGTGTCTTATTCTGAATATGACTTTTTACATTTTTGTATTAAAAACACGAACATACATCTGAAATTGCATATGGCGAAGTAGTCCTGTTGAAGTCTGACAAAATAAGCGCTGTCTAAAAACGTAACACAATCTTATCCTGTGGTGCCATCTTGTGGTCGTAAAATATAAAGTCAAAGGAGGGCATCAACAGTAATGCATGTTGAGCTTCATAAATTAAGACATTTACAGTGTCGTTTATTTGCCTTAGGTAGGTCGTGTTTGTTTAGTCAGCTGATGAGATGATGAGGATTACTTTTTATAGAAACGGTGCGTAAGTGTGTAAATATATTTTGAAGTCATATTTAGCAACGAAAATCCTCATGCATAATATTTTTAAAATCATGTACAGTAAGAGTTAGTGGTCCAATCTCCATCGGTGGGTTAACATAGGGAAGCTTTGTTTAAGGCCAAATCATCTTTGTTTTGGGGCGACAGAGCCAAATTATAGGATACTAAAAACAAATGCAGTGATGTAGGCTATTTTCTCCGAATTAATTAAATAAATAAATAATACTCGTACACTTAGGACCTTTCTTGTCTGATAAAGTTTTACATTGCTTCTAGTTTACAACTAAACATTATGTGAATGATCCAATATCTTAATACGTCATGACTCTTACCCCCTCCCCCCCCAAAATATTAACGTTAATATCTAGGCTATATTATACAACATGTAATATGAATATTTTTTGTGTTATAGCCTTGTTTGAATGTTCAAGCACCGTAAGTAAATTAATTTTAATTGTATGAAAACAAGGAAGACATATAAACTCCTCTGTGATTAAATTTGCACGATATATCAAGCTGTTGCAGAAGCTAGTGTGAGATATCATCGATGATTAAAAGTGAAGAAAAAAAAAACATGTCATAGGTAATTCAGTTGGCTATTTTCAAAACTGAAAATGATTCAGACCAAACAGAATCTGCCCAGTTATCCACATGTACAAAAAATATTATATATCTTATTATTTTTTTATTTTCACTATATATATTTTGTATCTTAAATATTACGCATTTTTTAGTAATAATTTCTTATTTCAATGTTATCTTGAAGCTGCAATCTGTTTTAAAGCACCAGGGACTACATTTCCCATCAGCCACTCTACCGTGTTTTTGTGTGCCAATAATTAGTGTTCGGTGGGGAACAGAGCCTGCCGTCGGTAGTGACAGAGGACAAATTGAAGAAGCAAGGTTGTATGCTACATTTGAGTCTCAAATTGTCATACTTAATATTCTGAGACGTCACTGTTGTATAACTTTTAAATACAATGGCGTTTATTTCCTGAACTGAGAGTGACGATGCATTCAGTGTATTTAAAAAGCTTTCTTGTAACATATTGCATAAGTGTGTAACAACAGTGGTGCTAGTTTGTGCTAAGGCTTAGGCTATTTGGTTTTGGAACATCATACATCTTATCTAATAAACCAGACACACACACACCCTTCAGGGAGGGGGGGGGGCACAGTGTAACGATTTGTCAAACAGACGAGCGTTGCGGTGTAACGGCGAAGAGAAGAGTTATCGTATGCTCCAATGTTTTTATTTCTTCTGTTGCCTCAGCTAGTTTTATGCTATAGCTCTGTGCTTCAGGACTCAGACAGCTCCTTGAACATTTCTGCACCTGTGAGTGATATTAAGTTGAAACAGAAAGTCCTCTTAATTGAATAAGTTACCTTGTAGGCCTACTTTGAGTTCGTACACTAACTGGTGCTGTGGTCCTGACAGGTGTCCAACATGACTGTGGATTGGGTAGGTTATGGATACGCAGCTCTCATCGCTTCTGGAGGAGCCATTGGTTATGTGAAAGCAGGTGAGTGTTATGATGTAAAAGTAATATCAAGTTTTTAGGCTCTGGTGTTTGCTTATTTGTTTGCATGGTTTGTATCATAACTATTTCTCAATGTGGCGTTTACATTAGACCCTTTTCTAAATCTCCATCTGGCAGAATTAACAAGATGATTTCATGTCCTCACCTTGTTAAATATCAGTGATCATGCGAAGAACAAACAACCATAACGTACCTATCCATCCATACTTCAGTCGTGTTGCTGTAAGGCGCAGTTGTTGACCTTCTGTGTGACCTCTCTTTCAGGCAGTGTCCCGTCCCTTGCTGCTGGTCTTCTCTTTGGTGGTCTCGCTGGTTTAGGTGCCTACCAAATCTCCAATGACCCCAAAAACATTTGGGTGTCCCTGGGTTAGTACCCTCAGAAAAAAAAATCTGTATTTGGTGTTGTATTGAGGTAAAGGTAGAATGATTGTGAACAGTCTTATTTTGTTGTAACTATGGTAATTTTCACCATCACCCAATTCATATTTTACACCTCACGTTGGCTTCCAGCGACATCTGGAGCTCTGACTGGAGTCATGGGAAAGAGGTTCTATGGATCCAGGAAGTTCATGCCAGCTGGCTTGATGGCTGGAGCAAGGTACCGTATATCAATCTCCTTTATTCATCTAAACACTAATAACAATCGAGGTGAATTAATTAGATTTGATGAGTGTAACAGGATGTTGTTGTTACCTCTATGAGGGCAGATGTGCTCATTGTATAGTCAGATGTAGAAATGAGAACTACCAATAAATATGACAGTGATAGTAACTCTAGCAAATACAGATGTGTCTGTACAGCACAATGTCTTTCTTTTTTTTCATTTGGTAAGCGTACAACCTCAAGTACAGTCTGGAGTCTTAAAGTTCTTGTCTTGTTTCAGTCTTCTGATGGTGGGAAAGCTAAGTCTCGCATTGCTCCAGAAGCCCCAGGAGTCCTGATGGAGGGAAGAATCGAACGTGTTCTCCAGCCCAATGTCTGAGGAGTGGCCTGTCAGCGTTTGTCATTTACTGTTGAATATTGAATATTATTTTGCAAATGATGCAGTAGTGTTTATTTGAAGATGAAATACAATACCATGTTTATATAATAATAATCGCTGTCTTGTCATTTCTTTTCCAATGAATGCATTGTGCACCTTTTTGTTTTTATTTGTAAAAAAAAAAAACTTTTACAAAATGTTCAGATAATTCATTGCTTAATACAAAGAGAGAAAGTTATAGCTTTGACTACCATTGCAATTAAAAGTATTTAGTCACCTGGTCAATAGAAGAAGAGGAAAATAAACATTTCAGAATGTATTGATAAATTATCGCTTAGGTTTTGTCATCAGTAATAAAACAATACTTGACCATTGCTACTAGGGTAAAAAAAAAAAGAAGGAAAAGCTTTGCTGTGTTTAACTCCTACTCAGAAATATCCCAACACTAACAGTAGAATTGGCGCATCCTGGATCTTTCAGGAATACAGTGGGGTTATTATTATAGACAGTATCAGGCTTTGTTCATCATCATGGCAACTGTGATCTCCAAATCACAGAGACTCCATACACCCTAACAGTTAGATCATACATGTCTCAGGTTCTCTAGAAACAAGGATTTGCTACAGTGGCATAACAATAGTCTCTTAAAAGAATGTGGGATTTCTTGTGTTCCAACTTTTGTCACTTTTCTTCCTACCCTCTACCTAATTTTTTTTTTTTTTTTGAAAATGTAATTTGTTTCAAGGAACATGTAGATTTCCTCATTTACAAGTTCTTCCATGTTTAAGTATGAACATAGTTAAAACTTAAGTTCTTCCATTTTTGTGAACTACCGATTTCCACCGTATTTGGATGTCCAGTCCACTCTGCCATGGACGGGCTGCACGGCTGGAGCTCTAGTCAGGATGTTCCCGGAGTTTTTCCAAGGGCTGCGTAGCTGCTCCCCTTCATCTGAGTCCTGTCTGTCCTCCTCCTCCAGCCCTCGAAATCTGGAACAACATGCATGTGAGTCGTTGTTCTCTATGATACTGAGACCATCTCTCTACCCAGCTACATATGTCACTTCAGTGTCCTGGGTGCAGAGACAGTCTCTTTACTCAGAACGATTACACCAACATGTAACTGTAAACTGTAAAGCTATACAGTTAGGTACAATCCAAGCCAAATGTAAAGATAAAATGTGTGCTCTATTAGTATTCAATCAATAGAAAACGATGACTCAAGCATGGAGAAAACAGCAACAACTAGAGAATAGAAATACCTTCATTAGTCTCACTCAAAGAGGAGTTAGAAATAGGCTTGGACAATGCAGATTTTGGTTTGTCTTTTTTATTGTCAGGAGATGAGGAAAGATTTACTGAAAGAGTGAAGAAAGGAGAAACAGTAAAAGTTAGGAGTGGAAATACTGCAAGTCAGTGATTGGAAACTTTATAGAAAAATGAGGAGGAACAGTTAGGAAGAGAGTAGCTGATCACACAGAGTAAAATACCAGGAATCATTATGTGTTTCATAGATAAGATAAAACCATACTTGTGTGCTGACCAGCCAAAGGGGCAAGCTGGATTCTCTGTCCCACTGAGCCCACCTCTTTCTTTTGGAATGATGGGATATAACCACCAGAGAGGTTGTATTTGGTGCTTACAAAAGTCCCTAAAAGTGAAGAAAAGACACAATTCATGGGTATTCCAAACACTCATTGTAATGCTCTCCAGTAAGACTTGTGTAAACTAAAAAAAAAAAAACGCAAAGAAAGAACATTTTAGTGGAGAAAATCATTTTTTAAAAGTTCTCAAATATGACCTCACTTCTGTTAATGTCTCGTGTTAGGTTGTGAGATGTAGGTACCGCATATGCAAACCAATGACTAAGTTGAAGTGATTGAAGCCATTCCAGCGACACCATCGGTCTGCTTCACCAGCAGCCACAGATGGTAATCACTATAATTAGAGAAGAGCCTCATTGTCCCTTTATGAAGATGTTGTGGTTGTAGTGCAATTTACCACCTAATTCACACCTGGAGTTCTTAGTTCTCGGGTTAAACTGTGTATTTGTACTCTTGTCTCCCGCAGAGCTTTTAGCAGTTTGTTTCTTTCACATGTTAAGTCGTCAGCTGAATACCTAAAAGCTCGGTGCATCAGCCGGCATTCTAACTACTATGTTGATACACAGAGGAGCTTTAGCATGACAACAAAAACTTACAGTCACAGAGTCAGAGATAGCTAGATTAACAGTTCACTAAATGTAAACTCAATGAAATACCTTTGGAGAGATCGATTTTCTCAAGTATTCTTTCTTTTACAATAGCTTTCTCTTGAGGGCTATCCATAGATTTAGAGGCAGTTTCTTCTAGAGTCCCAGGAAAAAAAAGTAGAGAAGTAAGACATGAATGCATCAGAGGGAAAGAAGAAAAGGGGGAAAAAATAGAAATGATTGGAGAAAATTCAAAGAAAAACATCATGCAGTGTTGGTTAAGGCAACAGAGAAAGAACAAAAATGTTGTCTTAACCTGAACAACAATTTATAATCCTGAGTAATAGGTGAGTAGAATCAAAACAAACAGAGTGTTTGTGTGTGTCTGAGGGAGTGCGTGGAGGTTGGACAAATGAGCAGGGGGTTACAGTTAAGGGCCATTTAGGGAACACTAGATCTAACACTGGCCGTCATGAATTAGAAAGAGAGGAGGAGAGGTGAAAGAGAGGCAGAAGAAGAGAGGGAAGGAGGGGAGCACAGCGGGGGCTCATGTTGTGTGTCTGTATACATGACAAATGATTTATGGAGGTCTACGATCTCTAAAGTCACAGACACTCTGGCTCACTGCGAACACTGCTCTGTCAATGGCCCCATAAATACTGATCAGGAGACATTAGCTGCATCATTAGCATTTAGAGCTAATCACAAAGAGTGCAGTGTCCTATTATGTAACAGTAACTGACACTGACTGTCGCCAGGTTTCCACTGCCTGGTAAAATGAGGCGATTAAGGACGGTCATGGTGTAATCATTATTCATTGCTCTGGATTTCAAATGTAACTCCTCAGCAGACGTATAGTGTGTTATTTTAAACACTTTTTTATCGTGTGAGGGCTGAAATAATCACAGAAAATAAGTTAAATATACGTTGAGTCACAGAATGCTTGCATTTTATGGCCTTCAATTTTCTAAATTGGTTTTTGATCCCACATGAAATTCTTCTTTTTCACTAATATTCTGGAACACCGATTGGTCAGTTTATTTTCTACAAATGGGGGCTGTAAAACTAGTTGACAGATTACATAATTGTTCTGTTAATTTGTCCTCCTTCCTTAGCACGTTAGTGAAATCTGGGAACCTGAGTCCTATCCACTGCACACTGCGATCGGCCCTCTTAACACATCTACATAAGTCATCAGTCCTCACCTGCATTGACTCTGGCTCCAATTGGAGCGAGTGGTTTATTGATGGTGCTTGAGGAGTTCTCCCACAGGTCCCGTAGCGTCATACTACCCATCTCCTTATCTGCAGAAGTCTGATTCTTGCTGATCAACCCTTAAAGGCAACAGGAGTTGTGTTGTAAAAAATCTAATGCAAAGACTAAAATGAGCATGTTGCATTTTTTTAAAATAAAACTGGCAGATCAGGTTGCTAAATATAAATGGAAATATGCTTTATTGTTTTTATTGTTATAAGAATGATGAAGGATTCATTGCATCGAGCTGCGGATCACATTTAATTCCTCAATCTGTTACAGAGGCTTTTTTTCTTTTTAAAGGTAATTACAAACTTGATAAAAAAAATAACCTGACATACAGAAAACAATCCTCATAAATAAGTTTAAGGGGAGAAGAGGTTAAGTGATGCAAGACCATTAGGAGACTATTTCTTGCTCAATGCTACATCATGGTGACTTTTCCCAATGATGAAGACGACCCAATTTGGTGTCATGCAGTCTTACCTGGCAAGTATCGTGACTGGCTCAGATAGTGCTGCCGAGCCGCGGATCCTGGAAGATTGGAGTCCATATGGCCCGCCTTAATATTGTTGGGTAGCTTAGTCACTGAGCTGTAGGAATACAGAGGTTTCGGCTCCTTAGGCCTGCAACAGAAATCAGTCTCTTCAAGGTCCATGCCCTGAAAAGCGTCTCAGAGTGCACTTTGTGAAGTCTCTATTGTGAGCTCTTATTCTGTGTTTGTTGTGCATTTCAAAATATATTGAATAGTTATAACAGACAGGGCTGAAGCTAATGCATGTATATTTATTGATACGACAATCTGAAGTCATTTTACCTTTTACCAACTCAGATAAAACATGGTGAATGACACCAGACCAGTTAAGATATGACATCACTTACTGTGGGCGCTGCTCCATAGGGGCCCTCTCCTCCTCTGTGTTCCCCAGGCTGGGTTTCTTGGAGTTGGAGGCGGACATTTCTGAGGGGTCGGATTCCTCCCAACTGTCTGAGGTCTTGGTCACCGTCTGTCCCCAGCGACGACGGCCACTTTTCAGCACCCCAGCCCCACCACCACCACCACCGACACTGTTCTCACTGCCCAGCGATGCAGCTTTCTGCAGAAGATATTAAACTCAAAGTCAACACAAACAACCAATTTTCTAAATCTATTTGACCAACTTAACATCTGTGATAGTAGTCACATTACAAAATCAGTGACCAGAAGGACTCGTTTGTGTAAAAGTAGCATTTTAAAACACTTTTCTTGTGCAAAAATTATTCTTACATTTTATTGAAAATGAAATCAAGACACTCACTGCATTGCTGAGACCTGGTTTACACTCAGTCTGGGGAAGAGGGATCTGCTGAAGAGGCTGATGATGCTGCTGCTGCTGCTGCTGCTGCTGCTGGTTTCTGGAGGAGGATGTGGAGGCTTTGGACTCAGAGGAAGACTGTTGGGGATCGGTCTTGGACTCTGATACTTGCCTCTGGCCTTGCACCCTTCCCTGCACCTTCACATTCTGGCTCTGAGGACGAGGTCCTAAAATTTGTCCGATCTGGAAATATGGATATCGCAGGGCCTGGACAAGGGGGAAAGGAACGCAAATCATTATTGTGAATATTCAGCAAGCATCCTTCTACAGCACAGTCAAGATTTCCAAACAATTCAAAAATGATTAACCCTGCATATACAAATGTATGAACCAGTCGACTGTGTAACTTGCATGATAAAACATGAGAGGAATTGAGCTTTAATGACACCAAACAAGGACAATTGTTTTCATCAAAGGCATGGTAGCATGAATTGTAAAATAAGTTCCATTCAGATGACTATTTTTGCTGACTAAATCTCAAGTGAAACCAAATTGTTCTCTTAGGATGAACTGAAAACAGATGTGCATCATTCACCTGGGAGCTGAGCAAGCAGAGGATGGAAAAGGTGTTGCCTACTCAGGGCCCACAGAGCAATTCAAGCTTCTCACTTGAGTTTAAATTATGTCTAACTACATGAGTGTTTCCCCTACCATTATATAAGGGGGGGGCGGCCTACCCCCCCCAACGGCCCCTCCCGCCTCCCCTTGAAGATCAAAAAAAAATATATATATATCTATATCTATATAGATATAGATATTTATTTATTTTAGATTTATTTTTGGTCTTTTTGTGCCTTTAGTGTAGAGATAGGATAGTGGATAGAGTCGGAAATCAGGGAAATAAGTCATTTAAGGATACCTGCCCGATAGAACAGGACAGCTGTCATTAAAAGTAACGCATGAACACTAAGATTCCTTCAAGTATTCGTGTGGGCGTCCGTCTCCCCCCCAAAAGCTGTAAACCTAGGGGAAACACTGTACGTCATAACCACTGTTGTAGGTATTAAACACAGCACAGCAGCACAGGTGGAACATTAAGCACTGGCAGAGGGAGTGAAGTAAAGCTTAAGCACTACTTAAAATGAAGGATTAGGATGCTGATGCAACTGTTAATCTGCATGTACTGTAGCAGCGTGTGCTGTACTGAAATAGGCGTTGTTGATCTAAAGAAGGTAGTAGTTCTCAGTTTAAACTGGAGTCCTGAGCAGTCTAGACCATTATGTAAACTACAACTTAACAGTCAGCCTTGAGGCTTGGTCTTGCCTTCCGTACCTGTACAGCAGTTGGCCTCTTTTTTGGGTCCCACTGCAGCAGGTCCTTCATCAGGACGATAGCCTCATTGCTGGCATTGGGGATGAGGGTCTTCAGGTGGGTCGGCACACATTGAGGAAACCGAAAGTTCATAGCAGAAGCTAGCTGGTAGCCCTCCGGCCAATCCGCCTAAGGGAAGAGACAATCGTTGGATCATTTATTATAATATAATATTCATTAATTGGATTTTTTTCTCAGATTATGTGGAACTTTGTTCGGCAATTCACAACTTTTAACAAAAATGGCTACTTCACTAAAGTATTTTTTGAAACATACAAATACAAGATCCTCAACCCTAAAAGCAACTATTGTCTCAATGTAATTTGATTTATGTTGAAACCTCTGGGGGTCTCCCTGCTCTAAGACTATCTGACTACATCATGGTCATCATAAGAGAAAACATAGTGGGTGATTTCTGCACCATTTGTTAGATCTGGATTGAACTTGAAAAAATGTATAGTACAATATGAACATAGTAACGTTTACAACATTGTTACTGAGAGGTGGATGACTCATGTCTTGACCAAGTCTTACTAGAAATGGGTTCTGTGACTGTTCTCTGCAGTCAGAGTCAATAGAGATGGATTTGGGGAAAGCCTTTGAAATGAAGGTGGCATCCTGCTCAGCATTAAGTGACTTAAGCTGCTTTACACCACAAGCTCATTTTCACCACAGAGAGAGTAACACAGCTCCTGCCCTTCTTACTGTTAATTTAAACACATTTTCCCTTTATAAATGTAATCATATCATAAATGATTTTATTTCATTTGATATCAGAACATGAAAAGTTTGATTAAATGTCCAGATTTAATGTCAGTAATTTCTACCTATCCTCCAGTTTCTTATTACCTTTTTGACAGTGCCGAGGACTTGACAGATTTTAAAGACCTCGTCCACTTCACTGTTCCCAGGGAAAAGAGGTCTGAGGGTGTAGAGTTCAGCCATGATGCAGCCCACAGCCCACAGGTCAATGGGCGAGCTGTAGGTGGACGACCTGAGCAGAACCTCTGGAGCTCGATACCTGGACATGAAAAAGGAACATTCTCAAATAAACCACAACTGTAACCCACAACTAAAAAAATATATAATGTACTTCTTGTATGCACGATTTTTTCCTGTTTTTTTTAATAGATATTGTTACCCAGTGAAGTACTTACCATCTAGTGGACACATAGTCTGTGTAGGGAGGTTTGGAGCGGATCTCTCTGGCTAGGCCAAAATCTGCTATTTTGACCAGTTCTGGACCCATGCATAGAAGATTTTCTGGCTTCATGTCTCGATGAAAGAAACCTGAAGGAAAGGTTTTATTGAGCTGAGCCAAAGTTTACAGAGTAATGTCACTTTTTAATGGGCAAATAAAATCACCAAACTACTACTACTAACTACTACGTTTTATATATTCATTGCAAATGTGCAGATTTCAGAAAGCACAAGAGAAGAAAGACTGAGCAGTTGCTGAATGGCTGTTTATTTATTTTTTGCTCTTGGATCTTAGTGGTCCAGATTTGAAGGTCTGGTTAGTCAAGGCCTGAGAGTTATTATTTAAACACCCCAACGTTGATTGTCTAACCTTAACCAAGCTATTTGAGTTCAAATGTTACATGAACAGTTTGTCCCTATCCTTCTTTTACCTGCTTTTTGTAAAGTGCCTCGACGTAACATTTGTTATGAATTGGCGCTATACAAATAAAGATTGAGTGATTGATTGGCAGTCCTTTAATTACTGCATTCAGATATTCTGCATGAAGGCAGAATCATAAAGGGAAACAATAGGCTGTATCTTTTCTGCATGTTTTTTTGTTAATGGGGTTGTGATGTAAATCATGCTTGCTGATGAAACAGGCACCAAATAGAGATAGGGTCGGCGATGCTATTTTAAAATATTGTTTTGTATGGATTGAGTCTTTTTAATGTTTCAAAGCATAAACACACCTAGTAAGAATACAGAATGAAACATACACATGACATGACATTCCATATTTCATGTGTTGTTCTTTCTGAAGTTCATACTAAACTATAAGAGTTATTACAAACACACACTAACCCAACAGATGAAAGATCATGCTATTTATGAGCAGGTAAAAGAATGAAAGCAGAGGACCTCTTACCATGCTTATGTACAAAAACCATCCCAGAGAGCACTTGAAACATGATGTTCCTAATTTCATTCTCAGAGAACATCTTATTCTCTCTGACAGCAGAGCAAAGCCATGGAAAAGGAAGGAATGAGAGGTAAAAGAGAAAGAAAAGAAAAGCAGAAAGTGAGATCCTGAAACTTAAAAGCCTACTGGATGTGCGGAAGCATGGGCATGTCCAAGTTTAAATCAGTCACGTTGGGGTTTTTTAGATTTGAAAACTTGCCAATCTACACGAGGCTTCCACAGATCCATTTATTAAAAAGAAGCAGAACAGTTAGTTAGAAAAGCAAGTTATGAGAGTTCACAAACTACAAGATTCTGATCATTTAATCTCCAATTTGGCAATTCAGAACCATGTTTGAAATATTCCATATTCTGAATCTTGCAGTATGCAACCATCCTCCTCACACTAGCAGGGCATAAGGGAAACACTGTACACCTACCATATTTGTGAATAAAGGACAGGCCTTGTAAAATTTGAAAGCTTATGTTTCTGATCACTGATTCAGGGAACAATTTTGTTCTGTAAAAATAAAAGTGATTCTTATGAGCCTGGTAATGCAAGTATAGGTACATAAACAGAATTGTCTTTGTAAGTCACTCAGTGGCCAAATACGCTGATAAACAGAGCATACATACAAATATACAGTTAGGCATTCAAATGTGTAACACACCAGGGCTTCTTTGACCTGTGCATCTTTGTCATTTATAGGCAGGACAAAACAAAGTGTAGGTGCGGTGCACACTCTGGGTTTCCATCCTAGGAAAACCCACAAGACTGCCCCTAGAGATATGAGTCTGTTGGCAGCTGTAAATGTGTAACGGAAAGCTGATGCAGGTCAAGTTCAAAACATTTAAAATCATTGTCTGATGAGAGACCAACATAGAATATGCCAATGGAAACAATTGGGGCCAAGCCGATCACTCACAGGTAAACATTAAGTGAGTATGTTTAGCCATGTATGCCTTGTAATCCAGCAGGAAAATCCTGATAAGAAGCTGAAATTTTGTAACTTTACAATATAACTATGATATTTTTAAAAACGACCATTGATTTATAGATCATGTACAAGCACTTACATTAAGTGTGGTGTTTCTTTTCTCACCTGTCCTTCATTAGCTGGTAGAGGTTCTCCTTCATATACTCAAAGACAAAGTAGAGGTGGTCGTTCTCTCTGATTACCTCCTTCAGTTTCACCACGTTGGCATGGTTCAGCTTCTTCAGGGACTGGTGAGACGTACCATTGTAGAAAATGAAGAATAATGAAATTCATGTAATGTTATTACTGTTTCATGTACATGTGTCATTAGGTGCATGGGAGAGATATCACATGACATGTTCACAATTACTAATGAATGATTTCCAGAGAATAGGAATCATGTCAAACAGTTCATGTTGAAGAACTGTTCAACGTTCAATGAGAGTGCTCAGGTAGATTGGACATTTTTAAGTTCTAACATGGCACAATGTAAAGTGTACAGTAAAGAGATAATGTGATTTTGTTACATTGTTAATTTGCAATATTGTGATTACTAAGAAACACAAAGAAAGCTTTATAACTGGAAACAGTGTTCAAAGAGCTGTTATGCATGATTGCGTTAAACCTTACCTTCACCTCCCTTAGGTTCATACATTCTTCCCATGAATAAAACTTCCTCTTCATTCTGTAAAGGAAGGTCAAACCAAGTGCGCTCAGATATGTATCACCTTAAGAAGAGACATCACATTCAGCAGGCAATATAAATTACACCCAACATACAGTGGTGTTATCTTTTTAAAGGACTCCTTTGTGCGAAACCAAGAATATTTTTGTAGTTTTTGGGGGTTTCTCTACTTTCAGCCCGTTCATTTCAACAATCACAACAAACTATCATTTGTAAAGTAAAATAGATTGGTTTTCTAAACTGTACAGGCTTTACTGTTCATTGTTGTGAACTTGAATGAAGTGTAAAAACCTTGCTCCATAAATTAAAACCACACACATACAGGACACACCTCTGGTCGTGTATCTTCTCTGACCAGCGTTACCTCTCCCTCCAGCTATAATTATGTAAGAGTTACAGAACGAGCTAATATCTTGTTTCCCTCTCTCGGCACCTGCCTGTTTCAGTTGCTCCCACTGCAGTGACAGTAACCTGACACACTCCTTCTACTTTCACTCCCTTTCACCGTCACCACTTGTATTGTCTTGCACGGTAACCAAATGATCAACCAGTGGACTCATCTCCCCGGTTTCTCATCTATTATTGAACCCTGCTGCCATGCTGCTGAAACAAAGGCATGTTGGCTAGTTTGTTTGTCTTGGTGAAAGACGGAAACCAGAGGCGCTTAGTCCTACACTTCACTTTGTTTCGGTTCTTTTAAGTATGTTTTCATCCGCGGCAGTGTATAATTCATGCAAGAAAAAAAAAATCAAGTTTTTCAAGAAGTACAAAGAGTCTGTCAAACTTTTGAATAGAGTTTCAAAGAGAAAAGTTTTTTCGCCATAAATGACCTACATTTCAAATTTAAAATACTTTTTTACTGACACTGACAAAACACTAAATACTAAAATACTAAATGCCTGTGTGGGTCACCCAGGTCCAGCTCAGTCATCCAGGTCATAGTAGTGCAAAGTTTGATCCTCAGGAGACAACTGGACTTGGTGTAAGTTCATTCAAAATGCTTCTTTAGACGAACCAAGTCCTGTTGTCTTTGGATGAAACTGGATAATTGATCTTAATGTGGAAATGGAAACTTAAGAGAGCCATCATTAAGCTGAGCTGAGCTTGATATTAATGTCAAATTCAAACATTACTTTTTATTTGCAGCTGCTGCCATGAGTCTTTAAATGGATATGAATTACAAAATAATAATGATGTTTCTATGTGACCTACAAAAGCAAAAATTAGCATTTTTTTGTGATATTTGTGAATGCTTGTAACCAATGCCAACAGGCAGGTGCCAGACAAAGTGAGTTACATCACACTGCATGGGAAACTGAAACTCATAGACATTTACATTTTACTTATTGGGTTCAGTGATTTGATGATATTATGGGTTCTTTTTATTGTAAACTGAGAAAACACTGAGTTTGCTCATTTCACTTTACTTGTGCTGTTGGTCCACATAACCTTCTTTTTAATGTAAATCTGCCCTTAAAACTGGATTATTAAAACATGTTGACTATATAACACTTTAAAAACAACTTGCCTCTCTTTTATGTTTAAGTAACCAAATGATTGTATATCAATATACAAAAGACAAGCTGTGTTTTAACCTTTATGGTAAAAAGAAGCTCCTCACCTCTTTATCGCCACCAGCTCCCCGGACTCATTGCTTCTCCCCATCAGCACACTACCATAGGTGCCGTCACCCAGCTGCTTCAGGGTGGTGTAGCGATTCATCATCTCTTAAGATGGGGTCATCAGCTTGCTAACTTTCCTTATTCATCAAACAAGATGTGGACATGCAGTACTCCTTCATTGATCAAATGTCTCGTTTCACCGGCCTCTTCTCCAGAAGTGCTCAACAGTTCTTTCCCTAGAAGGTAAGGTCTTCACTTGGCGAGTTTGTCACCACGCTCACCAGTTCTTGAGGTTTAACTCTCATCTTGCAGTAACTGATCCTTAGATAGAAAGGCAGGATCCCGGTGTTGTCGGTCAGCCAACAGTCACTTCTGTGTCTTCATAATCCTTAAGAGACAGGACATAAAGAAAGAAAGAAATCAGCATCAGATACAAAACAGTCTCCTGCAATTCCAGAGACAAGCAATGACTGGCCTGTTTTGCCCTCAGTGGGGTGATTTAGGCTCCCACACGACAACTCAAGGGAGATGACACATCCAGCAGCAGGCAGATTAGGCCCAGAGGGATGTAAATAGGACATTACACAACGATAACCTGCATCCACTCCCTTCCACCTGCCTGGTGAGAGGATGTTATTGACGACACGGGGGGTAACTGATTATTGGTAAATGATTTTTGAGGCAAAACAAAAAGAGTTAACAGACTCAGAATAGCCTGATGATTTACCTCCAGCGCAGCTGTAAACTGGTCTGTCCTATGCTGTAACATTGCCCTAAATGTTTCTCTAGGTTTTGTGAAACATCCTTATCACGTATGTTATTCACACATCAAACACACTGCATATCTGAGGGGAAAAAAACAGAGACGCCAGTTTATCCTTTTGCATGAAGGATTTCAGTCAGGTTGTCCCACACTATCCAGTGTCACGCACAAAAGCGAGTGAAAGTCTGTGCCTTTGGTGAAATCTTATTATGTATTTTATGCTTTCCCAGATGTTCAACAAAAATGTATGGATTACAGCTTTAAGGATATGTTGTACTTCATTATAATAACACAAGAATTAGATGAATCAATGCCACAACTGTACCCTAATTCTACAAAACACAACATCTACAGCAAGTACAAAGCAAAGAAAACTGCTTCTTTTGGGCAAAGTGTGGGAAGTAAGTAGGGCATGTCTCTTGTGAGTAAATGACCTGCTGTGTTTTAGGCTAAAAAGTCAATGCTGCTGCAGGTAGGGCAGCTAAACAAAATGAGATTACAATGTATTTAGTTTTGGGACTCCTGATAACTGTTCAATTAATAACTCACCTTGTGCCTATTATTTCACTTTTGTCTTAAATGTAAATGCTTTTAAGATTCACTACTCATCTTTGAACATTGGAAAGGCTGTTCTCAACTTTCTTTCTTATTACCGGTAAAGGAAGGCATTATTTCTCTAAGCAATAGCTTCCTGATATCTGAGTCTCAAGGGACAATAAAGAAATAGTAGCCTAGGTGTTACAGGTTCAGAATCTGGCTAGCATGCACTCAGCTCGAGACAATCTGCTGGTGAGGGATTTAAAGGGATTGAGCATGTCTTTAAGCCACATGACATTAGGAGGCCATTCAAGGTCAATTATAGAAAACATGTAGACATTTACCTTACAGTTGTAAAGAAACAGATTACGTTTAACTTTTAAAATGATTACGTGGTAACAAAGGTATTGTTTACAAAAGTAACCTGTTGTCATTCACTTTTAACCCAAGTTAAGAAGAATCAACTTCAGTTCACTATAGTAAGGCTACACCTTCTTAAAATGAACAGGGGAATAGAAAAAGTGACAGTGACATTAGTGGCTGCTGTCAGCTTTGACAACTCATCCCCACAACCATTTTTGTTCAGGCCCTATTCCTTTCTTTTGCCAAATAGGTTATTTCATCTGTGGTTTTAAACTCACCATTTAGGGGTTGAGTGTCTTTCCTGGATCCTATCTGGCTCTGCTGATAGACCAAGTGTCCTCTCACACAATCCACATAGTATCCACAACTAGCTCGTACGATAAGCCGCTCTGTGTGTGAGTGTGCTACTGGTCTCCATGGAAACGCGCACACAAACTCAACGTTTGTTTAGGTTGACAAGTGGACGCAATGCTTTGTGGGATTTGTAGTCCTTGCAAGCGTTTGGCGTTACTGCGGAAGTGAAAAGCCACAGCCCGAATAAACTAAAGCTTCAAATGTTCAATCTTGGCTCATACTAATACAGCGCTTAGTCTTTTATTTATAACTCAAATAAAACATTTTTTTTTAAAGATTCGAAGAAATTGTTGGTAAAAAGGTAAAACCCTTTGAGTGAATGCTGCTATACTTTCTGACAAATGCTTGAATTCAATAAATAAAAATGTAGGCTAAATAGTATGCTTAGCCTATCTATTTTTTTTTTCTTTTGCAATAAGCATTCAAGTCACTGGATTGGTTCGGTAGTGAGGGCTCTCCACATCTCTGCTGCAAAGACTGTGGTTAAAGTTCTGCACCAGCAGGTGGAGCTGTAGCGCTGCGGCTTTTTATTTCCAGGTCGGCCAATTAAGTAATAAAGACCCATAGCCTACCCATCCCAATACAGATTCTTTAAATAAATAGGCGTAGCTTTTAGACAATTATCCTTTTTCCCAACTACACTAGGTCGAGCCTTCGTGAAATTTCTACAGTTTCTGTCAGACCAATGAAAAGCAGCGAATGCATTTAGAATACAATGCAATGCAATGCGCACCAATATGCTTTAAATAAGCTATATGGACAGTCATCCAGTCTGCATGTTATTATTGCTGACTCTTAAACACATTAAATTAGTCTTCATGTTCAGACGACTTTCCCATCGCGGTGTGTAGGTTACAGTCTTTGGGCTCTATGTGCTTCAAGTGCTTGTGACAAGAGGAGGATATTTACCTACAAAATCACACACACATTAGGCAGGTAAGCTAAGAAGCAGGGAAGGAGGGACAACAAAGTGGAACTCTCCCTAAGAGGATTAGGTCGTTAGCCAGCCTGCGGTCTTTTCAATGGATTCCCGGTTCCCAGAGCACATTTTAGCAGCACTCCATGCAATAGCCATATCGGACATAGTGTGAGAAAATTGGTGATAATGCATCCTGTCCCTGCCGAGTGGTGTAGGCGACTGATCCGGGGATTCTGATGGATTACATTTGATTTTAAAAGATGACGTTAGTTTCTACCTGATGGGAGCGCACGGGAACCCGTCGCCGGGATTGCACCGGAGAGCGGTTTCCTGAAGGGGGGTTTGTTGAGAAGGTAACGCGGTTCTGACATGAAGACTCGACCTGCGGGGATCGGCAATGCCAACGCCGACTGGATGGGTTCGCTCCCATCCAAGCTCAGTGCCATGCCCCTCAAACACCTCGCCGTGCCTGGTGAGCCTGTCGTGCGTAAAGATGTTTTGGTCACTCAATTCATCTGTCCAGCAAACTATGACACCAATGTGAACTTTTGAACTAGAACATCAGAGCTACAAGAAAAGTGATGGTGATGCTAAAATACACGTCACCTTTATCACTCTCCATCTGTCACCCGTTCTTAATTTTCTGTTAATGCTGCCTTGTTTTAGGCTACCTCTTCGCCCACTGGCACTATATTCTTTTATCTTTGTCAATGTATTATTGTCCTTACAACCCCTGTATATTTTATGTATTTGTTCAATTTTCCTTCTTGAAGATCTACTCTCTCTCTCTCTCTCAGGTTCTCACGATTCCTTTACCTACTGGGTGGATGTGCACGCTCCTGTGGGACCAGATCAGAAGGCATATGTAAAGTACCTGGCCACCATGTTCAGCGTCTTAGCCAAGAAAGTCATGGTGAAATGGTCCATGACTCAGGTATTAAGTTCAGATTACTAGTATACAAACCCAAACATGTGTGGTGCAAAAGAGCTTCCAAAATATTAATAACACTTTTTTTAAAATATTCAAAGTCAGTGCATTTTAAAACACAGGTTTTTGTCTTTTTAGTCAGCTGTTGTGTGTGTTGTTATAAATAATGTCTATTCTTCCTAGAATCTGACATTTAAAGAGCAGCTGGATGCAGGAATACGCTACTTTGATCTAAGAGTCTCCTCCAAACCAGGTGAGCCTGGAAAAGAGATCTACTTCATCCACGGCCTGTTTGGACATAAGGTGAGCAGCAAAGTCAGTATTCATTTAGGTATGTATTTATTTAAATCTCACAGTCTGTTATCATCCTTTAATATGTGTGTCTTTCCTGATCCCAGACCCTAAGAAAGTCTCCTGTCCTGGAACGATCACGTTTTTATTTCAACATTGCTTCAAATATGTTGCCACTTGTTCAGACTTCATTTTGTCTCATGTAACAATCTGAACAGTGATTTTGTCCAGCTTGTATTGTGTTCTAGTGGCCAGCTGATGTTATTAAAGGGAAGGTTGTGGCCTTTGAGGCAGGGATCAACAGTTGTTAGTTTAGCTGTAAACATCCCTCTTCTACAGTGGGTCATTCTGGTCCCCTATAAGACACAACGTCTTGCCACTGGTAGTGTTTTATGAGATGTGAGTGTTTATGTTAAGGCTATGACAACATCTAAACGCACCATAAGAATTAGATCTTACTTTTATATTTACTTGTAATTATTTGTGTGTTTGTGTTTTTCTCATATCTACATGTGGCCTTTGTACATCACCTGTAGATTTGATGCGGTAAATGGTCTCTAACCTTTCCCTCCGATTTCCCCTAAAGGTGAGGGATGGCCTGTTAGAGATTAACAACTACTTAAGCAGACACAGGAAAGAGGTGAGAAGCAAGTTAAAATGTTTATTTGAAGTAAATTTAGAAGAAGAAAAAAACATGGATACATTAGCATGACCAGAGATCCAACTGACCGATTCTGATTGGTTTTATTTTTTTAAGATTGTCTTTCTAGACTTCAACCACTACTACGCAATGAACGCAGAGCATCACAAGTACCTGATCAGCATGCTCCAGGAAGTGTTTGGCAGCAAGCTTTGTAACAATGGTGCAGTTGAGGGCATCACCCTGGACTACCTGTGGGAGAAAGGATACCAGGTGAGCTCAAAATGCATCCGTAGAAGTGAGAAGTGATTGGACAACAATTCTAAAACATCCAGACCTATTAGTACGTGGACTATGGGGGTCATTCAAATGTCATTTTAAAGAACATGGAACGCTATGCTCATCTGTTTAATCTTTAACTAGAAAATCTTTATAAAAGATATCTGGAGGTTATCATCTGCATCCAGGGAACGACAGATTTTTTTTCCCCACTGCTTGTGCTTGAATGCACCTGAATATAAATATGTCTTTACTCGTTAGCCCAATTAACCCTTTGGTCAAGTAATCCCTGAAGCCTTTGACTTCTCAGGGCAGGAATTAGTTCTGAGCGTCATCCCATTAACAGTTGTTCCACCATTTCCCTCACAAGTGTTCAAGTGTTGTTTATATCCTGTTTATATACTTTTTTGAAATGCTTATTTCCTCACCTTAACATATCTTCATCTTCTTTTTACAAACAATACATGAGCACAAGAAGAAACATACACACCCGTTAATTACATTGCTCCAGGTGTATGTCTGCGGATTATTTAAATACTGTCAGGTGAATCTGTAACTGGCTCACAGTGTAAAGGAGTAGTAGTCGGAGAGAGTGCAGTGTAAGTAGGTGAATAGGGCAGAGCAAAGAGGAAAGACAGCAAGCCAAAGCAGAAACATCTACCAGCTGAAAGCCTTTTCATCTTTCTTGTGTAGTTGAAAGTGCACGTTCACTTCTGAACTGTATCTACTTACAATTTTCTTTGATTCTCTCCGCAGGTGATTGTATTTTACCACCATCAATCAGCTCAGGATATCCCAATCATGTGGCCAGGCAACAAGATCCCTGCTCCCTGGGCCAACACCACTGAACCACATAAGCTCACACAGGTCAGAAAAACAACATTCTCTGATAAGGACCTGCAAGCATGCATGCTTCTTTTATCTCATTTAGTGGAAATCAATAAAAAATACTGCTGCAAGAGCAGGGATTCAAGCCAAAACAAATTTTGTAATTTCTTGAACTGTCTTGACTTTTAATCCTTTGCGTCATCAATACATTTGACCTCTATGTGTGCATAGGTCTCTATAGTTACAGACAATCTACAGCTATTATTGCCTTCTACACAATTGGCTTACTATCAACATCCCATACAAATACTTTTCTCTGCATTCTTTCATTCCCTTTTACAACTCTTGTTCTGTACTAAACTCAACAACAAATCTACTCTATTTAATTTTCTCAATAGAGTAGAGACTTTTATGGTGTAATTGTTGTTTGTGCATTCCACTGTATAGTTCCTGGACACCACGCTGAAGGAAAGAGCAAAGCAGGGCTCCTTCCATGTGTCTCAGGCCATCCTCACACCCAGGGTCAACACAGTGGCAAAGGGCCTGGTCTGGGGGCTACGCAACTACCTGGTCGAGAGGTCAGTGATTCAATTAGTTTTTTCTTTTAAGATTTATATTTGGGCTTTTGCCTTTATTTGATAGGATAGGGGATAGAGTAGGGAATCGGGAGAGAGTGGGGAATGACATGCAGGAAAGCCGCAGGGCCGTCTGCTTGGAGGACTATAGCCTCCGTACATGGGGTGCATCCTAACCACCAGGCAGTCTGCGCCCCATCAGTGACTACATTTTGGGTGTTTTATGAAAATGTGTGATTGAGGGAGAAATGGTGAGATGTTATCAAAGTGTATATTTAAATGAATTTGTATGTCAAATTCTGTAGTGGTTTTGATGCATATACTTAACATTGCCTTGACTTGCCTTAAAACCTTTAAGATGCAGCAGTCCAGCTGTGTGTAAGTGTGTATTTTTTATGTCAAACATCTTTGGAAAACAACCCATTCATTGACTCTTATGCTCTATGTTTTGTCCTTACATGGTGGCCAGCAGAGGGCAGTACACTAAATGTTGGAAATGATAATTGCATCTTCATCCATACTTGCAAAACGTAAAATGAGAAGTTGTTGCCCTATTTCGTTTCAGGGTCAAAACCAAAAGTACAGTTTAGTGCTTCAATGGAATTTCCTTTAATATACCTTCAACAAGTCCATGCTTTCACACAAAAATAAAGGTTCAAATCTGATTAAAGCAGAGCATGTATGTTTTTGATATAGCCTACATATGCTTCAACACTGCTGTGTCACAGTCTATGAAGTGAACATTTAGGATGTGAGATAGTTAAGAATTCAAACTGATGTTCCATCAAATTGATGTGGGCCTTGTAGCAGACCGGGCTGGAGAAATGGATGACTCTTTTCTGACTGATGGTTAATGAAGCTTTATTTTCTTTATGCAGTGCCATTCATTTTCACAAACACAGCGTAAGAGCTGCACAGAGAACAAACATAAAGACAACCATTACACCAATCACATATTCAAGCTAAAATATATTAATTACAATATAAACAAGACAATAGATATATAATATTAAGTTCATAAAGTGAATTTACAGTGGTTCAAACATTTTAGTCTAGACCTACCCGGTAATAACAATTAATCATTTTTCTATAAAAACCAAAAATATAACCATTAAATCACATAGGGGGATTGTTCAATGTAAGGTACTGATAAAAGGGCTCATGTTTAGTAACCGGACAAACATTTTTCTTTTACATTAAAGCAGGTCTTACAGGCCTCAATTAACCAGGGGCTCAGATACCGTCGCAACCATAGACTGTAAATATTACAGTCGCAACACACTTGCCCAGGAAAATACAACGCAACGTAACAGAAAAACATCAAAGATTACAGAATTTATACCTTGTGCACCACCTTCCAGCAGGCTCCAGCCTTACAGTCTAGTAAAGTTTGGAGAATGGACAACTGTAGTTTCAATCAATCATTTCATGTGAATGATTCGCTACCTGCATCTGCTAATATCGGTGTAACAAGCAAACTCCGTCTTCAAAATTAGATAAACATAAAACAGAAAACAGATAAATATACACAAATAACCAGAAAACACTACACTTTATATTACAAAAAACTTTAATCATTCTAGAAATACAGTATAAAGATGATTTGTACCTTGTGCACATTTCGAGCAGGTTGATAAAGCGTGGAAAGTGGACAACTGGGGTTTCAATCAATCACTTCATGTGAATGCTTCCTTACCTGTACCTGCATCTCTTTAACATATCCTGTGGAAACAGGAAACGGGTAACAAGCAAAACCCGCCTTCAAAATAAGAGCCCCAAAAACAGATAAAGCATACACAAAATCGCAGGAAATACTAGCCCTTGTCTTGCAACCACAACAAAACAATAAAAGGCGTACATTAGATTTTTGTATTTTATAAATTTAAGGTGTCTTTTAAACAAGCCTTACACATGAACCCAACAAGGTAAACATAATGTTTCTCTTTATCCTCTTAATGGGTCCTTTACAGGAATTATTCAAAAGCTTTGTCAGTATTTTTGTTATTATAGATCGTCATGCATCGTCTCTCTTTCTATTAGGTTGATTATTATTGTCATGCTCTACTGGGATTGGCTGTTTGGGAGCTGTGAGACCAGTGATGTGACTGGCTTAGAATTGATCTATAAATCTAACCTAATCTAAATAGATTTATATTCCACTTTACCCAGTCCTTTACAGTACTGCACCATGCAACCATGCACTTGCAAGATTAAGTAGGATATATAGAGTAATTTCAGTGACAAATACTGAATATCACATACATTGCCTCTGAGAACCTACCTTTCAAAAGTTAAAAGTTATTCTTTATCCCTAGCTTCTCTATTAAAATATTAACACACAGTTATGACTTTACTGGTTCATTTTTAAGGATAAATTCCCTCAATCGATTTACAGACAAAGGATCGTAGGGAAACACATTTTATCTTGGAATCTTATATCCTAATTGATGACTAACTTCGTTGCACAAACTTGAACAGTCAGTCTGTGAGCCTTAGGTGGAAATGAAGGTGGAAATCCTGACCTACAGTACACCAAACCCTTACATGTGAGAGAAGCCGACTCTGTTTGTAAAACTCCTGCGCGGACGCTCTGGCGAGACAGGAGGTGGCCTAATTTTGCACTTCCAAGGAAATGGGGTTGTTTATCTCTGCTGGGTGACTTCCTGGTTTTGTTCTGCTTGTGGCTCAGACAGAGAGGAGAATTTTAGGGTGTTAGTAGTGATACAGCTACAGAGTCATGGCGGGCGTGTGCACCTATGCCAGTTACCAAAACAGACACTGTTTGAATGCAAAGCAATGATTATGACACAATAGTGGAAAAGAAGTATTTTGCTGACAAACACAAACTATGCTCCTCTTAACCCTTTTAACCCAGAAAGACATTCACCCAAGGAAGAGCTCATTAAAGTTTGACAATAGTATTGTAATAACAAGAAACCATACAGAGAATGAAACTTGGCACTTGGATATTTTAAGTATTTTTGCGAGCCAGGGATTGAGGCTGAAATGATATCCCAGTGATAGGCTGTTCAGTTTAACAAAAATAAGTGTAACTTTAAACCTCCTAATGCATACTTTCTTTTTCTTTCGGCTCTAGAAACCTGCCAACCATCATGTCCTGGGTGGAGGCTCAGAGGCCGGGGGTGGACGGGGTCAACATCATCACCTCTGACTTTGTGGAACTCACAGATTTTGCTAACATTGTTATCCAACTCAACAACCTGCTGCTGTCTGAAAAGGACAGCAAGTCAAGATAACACATGTTTGCACAACTGGACAAATTTGTGCTTACCAATGCTGGAAATAGGATTGCAGATTCTTCCACCTGGAATGATTCAGTGCATGAGTCCTGCAAATTGGTTTCAATCAATGTGTTTTTTAAAATAATTATACAAATGTATAATGTTAAACACCTAAGGCATTTTTTTCATCATCAGAGAGAAGGTAGCCATTTCTGTATGAAGCAGGGATTCTGTAGACATTTGAATGAAAAGTTGTACACCTTAAAAATCACTCAACTTTGATGGCTTTTTATGACTTTATTAGAGAGGAGGACAGTGGATATTGTAGGAAAACCATGATGAGAGAGTGGAGAATGACATGCAGCAAAGTGCCAAGTGTCAGAGTGGGACCCAGGCTGCCTGCTTCGACGGCTATAGCCTCTGTACATGCAAAATAACCACTAGGCTATCCAGCCTACCCTTACCCTCAACTAACTATTAGAAACATAAACATTTCAAATTTAGTTGCCCGGGCAAAACTGTGCTCCAACATCATGCAAAAAGTCCAAAAGAGGAAAGGAATCCGTAGATAAGATCACAGAGCCCGGCCCATACCAGCTGGCTTCATCATATTACTTTCCCATCACCCCTGTTTGGAGCAAAACTTGAAATATATATACTTTATCTGTAAGTGCAACACAGACGAGGTCGCCTACTTAAAAAAAAGTTACCTGGACTGTGATCATATAACAAAAAGATTGTACTGTAAATATGATGTTGATATATATGTACATTAAAGATTATATTTTAAAACAAGGATCACGTACATCATTTGTTTTTTGAGGTTTAAACTTGATTTAAACTCACATGAAATAAAGACTTGGATTGAAAAGGGATTGGATGACCAGACTTCTTAAACACCCAACATTTTGTTAGAAAGTATCAGAGGAAAATGCTCAGCCAAAGAAATTGCAAAGACATTTGTTTAAATTGCATTCTCAGTTCACCGATAACTGTAAACAATTAGCAAGTAAGCTGAAGTTTGTTTGTTTTTGACACAGTTTTTTTCTGATGGTGAATTGATAAAAAGAGAAAAGTACAGCTGCAGACTATTTGTGTTGTTAAGAGTCCCATATAGTAAAATGGAGCCCATAGTGGCAGCTCTATACGTTATACTTATAGTTGGGCTTTATAATTTGAGAAAGTAAAGCAGCGCACCTTTAGCTGGGAAAAACAGAGAGGAATGTGTTGGAATGTGTGCCACAATTCCCATAAAACACATTGCCCATACATATGCACAGCTATAAATGTTTATGTTTATTGTGTTTATTCTCAGTTTACCTGGGCTGGACATGCAGAAATAGAACCAATGTCCAGGCATAGAAAAACATTCACTATACGACCATGTCAAGTCTGCACTGAGATCCATAAAATAGATCATGTTATAATAGCAAAGAGCAATATGCCAACTTATTATCCCATGAAATGTTCTGTGTGTGTATCTGTTTCAGTGTGTGTGTTGACTGCTTGTATGTGTGTGCCTTGTGGGCCCAGTGATTACTATGCGTGACACAGACAGTGACAGTCGCCTTGCATTCCTGAGGTCAGAGAGGAGAAGAGAGAGAAACGGCAGAAGAAGGTGAAAGTGATTTACAAAGCAAAAGAAGTTAGATAGCAGGAAATAAGAGAGCAGAAAAATCAGATGAAAAGCAATGGACATGAAAAAAAAAAAACATCTGTCTTATTTTCAGCAGCATCTTCTAACAGGAAAGTAAAATGTTTCTTTTCATATCAACTTTGCTATTTTTTTTGTTCACTCCCTTGCTCGCTTGTGTGAAATCGCCTTTACTGTCCAGGCCACATTGTTGACATGTTTGACTGTGGTCACCCAGCACCGCGAGGTGCACACACCAACACCCACAGTCACAAGCTCAGGCACTTTAATTGTGGAGTAATTACACATACCATCGAAGGCAAGTGGGAGAGTGGAGAGCTGCGGATCCACTGATGGAGAGCATTCCTTTGTTGTTTGGATTGGTCCTCTCTTGGTCACACACACACACGCACACGCACGCACGCACACACACACAAACATTCACTCCAGTGGATCCCTATTGGCTTCCCAGGTTTCAAAGGAGAAGGCGACAACTCAGTCATGATCTTCAGGTTGTAATGGTCTCATGAAACTGCATTTTAAAATGTTGGCAAGGCAAGATCATCTTATTCTACAAACATTCTCGTCTGAATGGGGTGCAAACATTGAACTCCAAACTACTTCAGCTCCATAGTATATGGTGATTTAACAAAACAAAGCTGCACATTGGTTTATACAACCTTTACTTCCCCACAAGTTAGAGCACACAGTCCAGTGGAAACATTTCTCTGTATTAATCAAAGGCAGACTTGGCTTCTTTACAGAAAAAACACATGTTGCAGTTTCCAGTCTCTAATGATACAAAAAGATTTTGGTTTCAGTTCAAGTTTCATTGTCACACTTGTGCTTTGGTTGCATGGTGTGTTTCTGTTAAATTAAGATTCATCATTATTTTTGGAAGCCATTTATGAAGTCGTACAAAGTGGTTAAACACTAGTCTACAAATACACTTGTGAGTAAATGGAGTTTGAGTAACCATGGCTATATCCCTGGTATTAGGTGATGTCAGTGACCAGTGAGTCGACTAAGTCTGACACATCCATTACACACAGATTTGTTAGAGCTCTCTTTAAGACCATGATGACTGTGGAAGTCAAGCTGCTGCAACAACAAATTATACTGTACCTTATACGGGGGGGGGGGGGCATGACTATGCTCCTATCTTACTTAGCCAGTAAAAGAGGCAGTCCTCCAATTATCTGTCATTACTTTGTTATTAAAAGCATGTGGGTTGAATGTTTTTACCCACAAAAATACTCATAGCCAGACATCCAGTGATGATACCAGATTCCTCTGAGATTAAATGAACTGTCACATTCCATTTGTAGTGGTTTCAATTTAGAGTATTGATGTAAAGTAGTTTAGATGCTGATTCACAGGCTATTTTGTGCAGTACAATGGACGCATTTATGTACAAAAGAACAACCATTTGAGCATAAAGGTTTGACCAATGAAGACATATTTTGAAAAAGAGTCAAAAAGCCATTTTTGAAGGTTAAATCTCTCTCTCCAACAACTCCAGAGTTCCTGCTCAGCCTTCTGGGATCACATGGGTGTTCAGGAATTCACTTGGGAATGCTGTCAAACATTCGGCGACCCTCTGAAACCCATTGGCCTGGGCATGATGTCATTACAAAAGCTTTATAGCTCTCATGCAAGCAAGCATGCATGGACTCTTAATAGCCGCTTAATGGCTTCTGGAAACACTTGACATGAAAGAAAGTTTAAAAGGGAACTGCAATTTTAAGGAGCATTAAGAAGATAACACTTAGCGGGTCCCTTTTTGAGGATCCTTTGCTCTGTGATGGATTGCTTTATATCCAGCCAAAGTGTACACAAAGCACGTGTTTTTTGATATATATGTATGCTTTAAAAGCCCTTGAATGTAACCAAGCCACTAGGTCTCCATACATACCAGGTGTCATGAGGAGGAGCAGTGGAGAAAGTGGAGCAGGGCTGGGTGCATGAGCTCTCTTCCTGTTTATCCACAAAGAGATCCTCGCAGTGCCAGAGAGATAAGATCCGGCTGCCATGGATAAGCATGTGTGTGCATGTCCTTTTGTCTATGTGTTAGTCTGTACACAAACCCTACTATAGGTTTCAGTCCTAACCAGAGGACCAGTCTAAGGACTACATTTATCATTTTCCAGCCATAACAAAACACCGCAGTTGTGGTCAGTGTGTAAAGCCTCAACAAAATCCTGCATGACTATGGTTTCATTACAGTTCTGAATGATGCCTGTTGTTTTCTTATGTAAGCTCTGTTGTGTATTGTGGAATATTCTCAAACTTCTGCCAAATAAAATGACCTAGCTCTGATGTAAAAGAGCTGGCATCTGCTCCAGCTCCATGATGTCCTCTGTCTGATGCATGACAGTACATGTCGCTGAGATTTTTCAGATGGTGCACATAAATTATGTGAATAGGAGCCTGACACCGCTAATGCCTAAAGCTAAGGTAAGGTGTGTGTGTGGTATAAAAACACCTGTTTTCATGGTGTTTGTGAAAATAACAAATTTGAAAGTTTTTCCCATATTACTTCACTTTGATGGAAACATTCTATACGTTAAATTGCATGTTCTCTATTGACATAGTATCACATTCAGGAAGTCTCTAATTGTTTTGGTTTTCCTTTTTTTATTGGTTTGTTTTTTAATCGTTTAGGATGGAATAAAACCAGAAGCACTGATTTTAATCATTTTGAATAACCCCTCAAATCTGTTAATTTTTACAATATATTGATCTATGGTGGGTAAGGTTTACTACAAGATGGCTAACGTTCATTTTCTGTGTATCAAATGCCATAATCATGAACAATGGTTAGCTTTGAGTTCCCAAAGGATAAGTTATTCATTATTTATTTGGATTTGTAAGCTGGAGACTTCTACCAAGCCTATTACAAAAGTTGTATTCAAACAGGAATGTCCATACTCTAAACTTATCAACCTTTATCCCTGATTTCAACTTCTTGGAGAATGACATGATCTGTACCATTTTGTTTGGGCACCAGTCTGGATCTTTCCCACGGACAGATTCCTTCAGAAGAACCATGGGCATCAGGTCTGGATTGTGTCCTGTGAAGGGAGAGTAGACTGCATTCCTAGTTTGATATCATAAGCCAAACATGCTTCTTACCCTGATGTATTTTCATATCACTGCTGCCAAGTGAAGGAGTTCTCTCTCTCCCCTTCTACCTCTCCTTGTACCTTTTTTTATCCTCCCTCTCCCCTCCCCTTTTCTACATGTCTTTGTTGTCTCTTTGAGCCAGTGAGCACAAGGGGTCAAGAGTAGGTGGTCTGTTAACACCTGCACATTATGCTGAGTGTGTGTGTGTGTGTGTGTGCGTGGATTTGTGAGCGTCTATGAGAGAGAGAGAGAGAACGAGCGAGAGAGAGAGAGAGAGAGAGAGAGAGAGAGAGAGAGAGAGACTCCCGCCTCTTGTTCCCTCTCTAGCTCCACTTCCAGCTGTTTGTTAAATTCCTCCACACGTCGCAATTGGCTGAGGCCGCCGGCTTTTTTACGTTTGTGTACGTTTTGTGTTCCCGTCATGTGTGTGCATGACAGTGTGTGAATGTGACAGAGGACTTTTTTTTTTTCCCCCACCAGACTTTCCAAGCTGCTAATCAGGGAATGTATTCGTTGTCAAGAAGGAAACTGTAATCACACCAAGAGAAAAGGAAAAGGGACAGACATTTCCCAGGACTTTGGTGTGAGGGTCTTGGAGCAGCAAAGTAACTGCGTCTCTTCCACTGCACGATGACAGAAGTGGTCAGTCCACGTTCAATAATGGTAAGTGACTTGTTTTTGTGATAAATCGCAGTTATAAATGTTCTTATTATATTAAGTCTGTGTTCCTTTAAAATATGGTGACATATTTAATCCCTTTCATGGTGTTCCTACAGCAGCTAATGTTTGATCCAATGCTCTGGAAGTAATTTGTTCCTTAAGTGGTTGATAAGCTTGAGCTACTTTAAGTCGTTTGTTTCTGAGCAAATAAAGAGAAACTTTTGTTTGTTTATTGGCTGACTAAATGGAATTTTTTTACATGCTTTTACGAATTGCCCTCTATTTGTACAATTGAATCTGGTCAGAAGGGAGTAGGCTGCAGAGATGTTGTGTTTTTGTTTTCAAGTGTTGTCTGTTTAATGTCATGTAAGATATTGTTGGTGAGTGCATATAGGAGTAACCCCCATTCCAAAAAGAATCACAGATAATCAGACATTGGTGGATGGTACAGATACTCCCCTCATAAATTATTACATGACTCGTATGTGGATCTACATCTGTTTTATCACAGCATCTGTGCACTGTAAAGAACACAATCAAACACTAGGAAAGCCAACCAAAATGTAAGAAACCAGACAAAGATCTTTTTTCTCATCAGTTCCAACCTCTTTAAAAAGTGAGGTGTTAAAGTATTGACATATCTGAGGGGCATATGTGTGAGTTCGTAGGGTTGGCGCATTGTATATCTACATTGATTGTATTTGATTGTCCTGCCAGAAAACAATATACAGTGTGACATGTTGGTATGTCCAGTTACACAGAAGCAAGTTGTACAGTATGCTGCATGTTATGTCACTGGATGCTTAGACTCTGGTTTTGTCTTCGGTGGCACTCTACTCAAAGAGAATCACATCTGTGTATTTGGTGTCTTAGAGAATTACTTTATGTTGAAGTTAAGATCTCCACATGTTGTTTCATTCCTGCAAAACAGCCAACGCAATGCTAAGCTAATGTTAAAAACATTCAACCCGTCATGTTGGCTCTGACCATGATGTGGAAACCAGTAGATATGTACAACAGACCTGCCATAAGGACTCAATGTACCAATAGTCTATTGTAAATGATGGGAAATGCAGATAAAGGTCAAATATTGAACATAAACATGGTCATTTTTTTTTTTTAAACATTTTGCAGGAGTGAATTCCAAACATGATTTCAGGATATCATTCTAGCATTTTCTTTGGAGTAGGCCTGTGCACCTTATATGTTAACTAAATTGGAGGCCATTGTTGCTACCGCAGGAGCCTTACAAAAACTCTTCCATTAATCTCTTTCATCTCTGGATTCTTTATCCTCTGTGTTTATCCATTTCCTTTCCTTTTATCTCCCAGATCCCCCGACATTCGTGTTATCATACGCTCCATCATTCTGCCTCCATCTTTCTTTACTATCCAGGAATAGTTCACAGTTCAGTTCACCCGCTGAGCTAAGTTACTAATGTGGGTTATATGTCCCTCTACAAATTCCCTGTCCCTCCTTGTCTTTTTGTCATATCCGGACCCTTAGAAACCCAAACATCACTTGATCCCCTGCATATGGTGGCGTAGGTAACCCAGGCTCTTCCTTAAAAAACACACACCCTCTTAAGAAATTCAAGTTTCCTCCAACTTTGAGTCAGCTGCAATAACAATAGAGTCTCTTTCCTGTGAGGATCTTGTATTTCGGTAAATGAAGAAAAAACCCTGATAGGAGGGTGAGAGAGTTTGAGTTGGAGGACAATGCTGGTGGATGTTTGTTGTGTTTTAAGCAAAGGCTCAAGGTCAAGCTGTCTTAATCTGCTCGTAAAGTTTTCACCAAAACACAAAAACAAATGCAATAATGGAAACACATACAATCACAGAAACATGCAGACAAGATTAAGTTAATTTAAGTTTTTTTTTTTTTAGAGACTAGTTGCAAAAAAAGAGAATTATTGTGTGCCTATAAGTAAAGCCCATGTACATGTGTGTGGTGTGTGGTTTGTGTGTGTGTGTGAGTGAGGGAATGTTGACCTTTATGGTGTGTGGGCATACTGAAGGCATAAATTAAATTAATTAAAGTTTTGTTAAAGACTTAACTGCACACAAAAAATACAGTGTAGTGTAGAGAAGGGAGGAAGATAACCCCAGTTAGCCCGACAGAGAGAGAGGGACTCCATATTAAACAGCATCTGTGATACAATGCTGGCTTTGTCAGGTGGGAGGAGGAGAGGGTAACGCTGGAATGTAAGGGGAGGGGATGTTAGTGAGATATATAGAGGGATGGAGAGAGGGACAGATAAGGACAGAGGCAACGAGACAAATCAGGGAGACTGGCGAAGAAACTGAATTGAATGTTTTTAAAAGAGAATTAAACTCAACGAGAGCATGAGAGAGGAAACTGGCTGGGAAGACTAGCCTGGCCTGCCAGAACAATCAACAGATCCATTACCTCTCAATTCATTTTTTTTTAAATACATTTTTGAACGCTGACTTTGGAAGACCAACATTTTTCTGGACAACCAACCAATCAGAGAAACAAAACATTGGGACTGCTAAGCTAAAAAATAGCTTCTTTGGCTTCTAGAACCAGACATAACAAGGACCGTTTTTTATGATATGATTAAGCAGTGAACACTAAGCTGTTCCATAATGCAACTGACCAACCAGTATGTAGTATTCCAGACTGTTTCACATGAGAGGCTGCCATGTTGGTTGTTTATGAAAGTGCTTCAGTGGCACTAAAATCAGCTCTATTCTAGTTGAAGTTGTGAATGAATTGACTTGAATCTGGTCAGATTGATATCTGTCTGAATGAATGGGAGCCAGACACGTCACCTAGAGTAAATAAAACATGTGCGCACACATTTCTACGGTTCCCAGGTTATGGAAAGATAGCTTTTTTAAAACGAGCCTGATTCAGAAACAAAAAAGACAGTGATTGTACTGAGGGCAATTGAGAAAGAAAAAACAAGATTTGTTTTCGGCTTGATAGAAATGAAAAGAAAGAGTCAAACACAAAGAGATATGAGACCCTGGTATGACTCCAATTCATCGCTTTTAATGTTTTTTTGGTCATTGTAAGAAATTGGAAAACTGCTAGATGGTGGAGTCGTGAGGAAAGGTGTTCAAATATTCACCTCAACACATGAAAAACTTCTCCTCAATGATATTCTGCTACCACTTTAATACTCTGATGACACAGTTGGGTTTGCAATAAGGTTAACTGAACCAATGAGTATCTGCGTCTTCCTGAGATTCTTTATCTGATGTGTTGAACTGCTATCTTTTCAAACGTGTCTGATGCTAACAACAGTTAGTTTTCATCGTTGTAGCAAGATTACAGCCAAATTGAAAGTCGCTGTAATTCCATATAGGTGTATTACTGTATTCCAGGTCTTATCTCCATCAGTTGGTGAACCCTTTAACCATCATGTTAAGGAACTGCCTGGCTTGGAAAATCCTCTGCCCAATACCAATATGGACGACTTTAATTTAGCAGCATCGTGCACTGAGGGAGCAGATTACCAACAATGAATTTATAGATTTAAAATAATCTGACTGTTTGTTAAAACACTCTGTTCTACCTGCTTTGTAACACTATGTTTGATGTTACCATATCTTAAATCTCAATCACAATATTCAGAATATTCAGTTTGTACTTTCAGTTTGCCTTGCTGACCAAAAACATTTGATTCCTCTTGTTTTTCCTTGTTTTTGAAGATTGCATCGTCCAGCTCAATACTTGCTCAAAAAAGCTTGTGCAAGTTACTTAACTATCCAACCTGTGCCCTACATTATTCTATTCCAAATAAGTGACATCCACCCCATTGGGACAGGCCTGAGATGTGGTTATATAAAAAAAAAGACTGCAACAAAAAACAGACAGCAACAATAATGCAGAAAGTACTTGAAACAAGAGAAAAATCAAAACAGATGTTGAGGAAATAGAAGCAGAGAAGGGACTCAACATGAAATGAGGGATGAAAGCAGAAGGAGAAGAAAATAAGAAGATGAAACGAAAGCAGTTTGAGAATGCTATGTCTTTCCTTAAGGTTTTATGAGCTCTCGTTCTTCCACCACTTTCACTTTTTTCTTGACCCCATATTTTTCTCTGCTTCGCTCTATCTCCATCTCCAGATGCAGGGGGAACTCAGCACTTTAGGGGGACTCAGCTGCTCTGCAGATGGGATCAAAGAAAGATTTTGTGCTTGTACACTTTCTTGTTCTTGGGTCCTTGTGGTTTTATAATGTTGTGTATTTATGACTTTGTTTCAGCTGGTGTCAAAGTATTCAAGAGGAAGTTGCAGGAGTACATCAGATTGAGAGTCAAGTTGGTTTTATAATCATGTTGGGCCTGTGTGCTTAGGATAGTTACCCATTGGACAACTTTCCCTCAAAAGGAAAAATTAACCTTTGGAAACTTTACCAATCTCATTCTTTTCCAGCAGTATTTACCCTCATCTGCTTCGCATATATCTAAATGATTACTTTGTAGGTCAAAGGTTGTCTATATTTCCCAGATTTAAGAAAGAAAATCACCTCGTTTAAGACACTAGATTAAGTGAGGAGTTGAATCTGATGATTTTTAACTTCAGAACACAATTGCAAGTTCTTGGAAAACGTCCTTGTTCTTTAAATCATAGGTGGAGAGCAACATCTGATAAAAGTAATTCTCTTATTATCAAATATTCTGTTATTAAACTTCATTGTAGGCTAGCTGTAAAGTAAATGTTGCATCATGTCCTCTGATGTTTGGTCAGAAACAATGTGTCGACTTAAAGTCGTGAAAAAACTACAGAAACTACAAAAGCCTGAGAATTGAAACTCAGTTGTCTTGTTCCTCACATATTTGACATTCACACTGAACTGTGTGGTGTTGTTAATGAATAGTTAGGTTGTTGGTTAAATCCTTTGTCTTTGGTTGTCACAGGCCTGTTATAAGTCTCAATCATGCTTAAATCTGGAACGACTGAAATGATTGGATGGCTTATCTGCCTGTTATTGTGCCTATGTGCTGACCTGCCTACCTGCTCTCGATCTGACCTTACACTTATTAAACATAGAGGACTTGCTCAAGCTAGAGCTAGCAAGATGTCATAACAAAAAAAGTGTGATATGGTTAGCTACAAGAAAGCTAAAGGTAGTTTATATTCCTGCGTTTGGTAATTAAAAAAAAGACAAAAAAAGCGCTTTAACATTGTTTCAGCTGGATATCAATACTGTAGAACACACTTGTTAACATGACAACATAATATCCTCTCGTAAATGAGAAAATCACACTGCTTTCTTTTTTTATTTTACTTTGATAAGCAATTTTTATACAACCACTTAATAACATGTAGTTGTGCTAAAATGTTAGCCTTATTTGGGGTCTCGTTTCTGGCCCTCTGTAAATGCAAGTCTAGTGTTTATTCTCTTTCTCTGTTTCCTTCTCCACAGACTCCTTTAAAGCATCATTTCATACTCTTCTGCTTAAAGATGTTCCCAAGCTAGTTCGTTTTGCTGGTTCACCACAACATGTGATCTCTATCGAACAGCCATTTAATCCATTATTGATATATTTATATACAATGATTTATATATTTACATTTAACATATTTAAAGGCCGGGAATTAGAGGCAACAGGCTTCACATTTTTTTATCTTTCTGTTTATGTGTTCACAAATTGTTGTTGGCTGCAAATTCCCAGACCATCCAATCATTTCATACCTGTGCTCTCATAGCCAGAGGCCATGATAGCATCAAGTGTGGTGGTTGGAGATTGGGATACCAGAGCTGAAATCTGAAAATCTAGAAGGGGGTTGACACACTTCACTGCTTTACTTAAACTAGAGTACAACAATGCAGATGACTTGTCTTGACCTGCCCAGATTGGAGCTCACCTGGGGAACAAATGCAGGCAAATGGGGTGGGGGTGTTAGCAACTAAAAGGTGAAAATAAGGATGAATGATGCATGAAATGGGCATTGGGTTGATGGGAAATGAAAGCCATAAATGGCGAGGGAAAAGCCTTTTTCATCATACTCAAAATAGTCTCCCTTGGACTTTAAAATTTGCCTTTGCATTTGTCCAGCTGATGTTGCCATCATACACTGTGTGTTTGCTTTGTCTACACCAGGTATGAAAAAAGAATCAATGGAATGTTGGGCCCTCATATCTTCAAGTGATAACAAAAAAGAGCTGATGTGTGACTTTATTTGTGGATGTTTGTGCATGCATAGCGGTCAGACGGGTGGCTGAAGTGCAAAGAATAGCAAAGTGTGTGTATGAGTGGGTTTGAAGGCAAAAAGGGTGTCAAAGCAGCAAAGGAAGTGACCTCAGAAAGGAAGTCGGCGCTGAATTAGAGGAAGTGGTTTGAAGCTGACTTTGCTGGCTAAGATTAAAAAGGCAGGAGGAAGGGGCAGGGAGAGGAAAAATAAAGAGAGAAGAAGAACTGATGGAAAAAATGGGTAAAAAAAACACAAGAGCGCACTCCAGTAAAAAGGAAGAAGAAAGCTGGAAATAGTGTGAGGTGAATCTTGTATATTATTACAGGATTATTACAGGATAACAGGGAGGAAGGGAGTAAAACAAGGAGCGAGAAGAGGAGGAGGAAGGAAAGGAGGTGGCAGAAGGTGGAAAAAGGAAATGTGGTTGAGGTGGTTTCCCATGTACTGTAATCATCTCTGCTTTGGTGAGAAGCTTTTCACTCATTCATCTGGTGTGTGCACATGTGTGTGTGTTCCCTTTAATGTGTATGTGTGCACACAAATAGAAGCAGGACTGTTTTGCCTGGGTTGAATTGTAGGGTACTGCCGGCCTTGTTCTTGGCACTGCATCTGAGTGTGTTTTTGGCAGTTTTGATTGAGTTCTCTTTTATCTCGCTCTGTTTTTCATTCCTCTTTATAGTTGATAATTCTCCTCCTTTTAATGCCTGCCCTACTAGTGTCTGGCATCCCGCCCTCTCCCAACATTCAAACATTTTCACTTGATTTTTTTTCCGTTTATCTTTGACTCCACTGCAAAGTATTTCAAAACAAGGATGGATAACCTGAAGCCCAATTAGTGGCCCCTTGAGGCAGAAGTGTTTTACAATCCAATGTATTGGGTGAAGCAAACAGTACTGAATATTATATACTGCCCCTTCCCTTGCTCTGTACAGCATGCCCTTGACATTTTCCTGAGTTGCACACATGACCCTTACAGCAAGACGTTTTCACGGTCGGACGGGAGGTGTTTCGAGTCACAGTGCAATGTTTCAACATATACAAGATAGCATGCAGACTTTTTACTGGGGGACCGGCATTATAAAAGTCTGGAATAACGTGGGGTAGAAAAATCTGGCTGTTTGCATTCACACATACATTTCACCATACAATATGAGGAACTTTCAGAAGTGCAGATCATTTTTGAAAGGGGCTAGATTTGTTTTTAATTCAAAAGCTTGCCCATAAGAGCAAGAGGAATTTTTTTTCAAGTCTCCAACGCTTATTTTCCTTGAGTGCTTAACAATCTGCCTGATTTCATTTTGTTATATGAATTGGAATTGTGACCCATCCTTTCAGAGTTGTGTGGAGCTGTGATGTAATGGGTAAGATAGAATAGAAAAAAAATGTAACTCACATGACACAAACACTTTGAAAGCACCAGGCGGGGTGATGATAGACCATAAGCAACAAGTTATGGGAACTCTGTTTTCATGAAACATTTCTGCCAGTTCTTCCCACTGCAGCCCAGCCTGTGTGTGCCCTTGCATGTGTTTGTTTGTGTGTTTCCTCTCAAGTGGTATTTTCCCCATGGAACACTTTCACACAGGGATAACCTCACATGGCAGCAGCTGGCCGGCAAAGCACACTTGTTTTTCTTTGTGTGTAAGTGGCTGTCATTGGTACAGATGTGGGCACAATGTGACCCTGCTCTTGTCTATATAAGGTCTGCTTAGTTGGGGAGAATGTTTATATACCTGGACACTCTAAGTACCAATGAAGGCTCTTAATATGTTTAAATCTTTAGTTTATTTAGAAAAGTCATATTTGTGACTTAATGTCTAATTTTCAAGGGATGCCTTAGAACATATAAAATAGACGTAGAAATGTAGAAAAAGCAACTATACACATTTAAATATAAAATCTAATTATTCAAGACGGAACCTAAATACACTCATAGATAATTAAATAAAATGTTTGGTCTGAGCTGTTGTTCTGTTCTCTCCATATTTACTGCAGGACTCTGAGATGATGTTCCAACCAGAGTCGGATCAGATGTCTCCAATTGAACCCAGGGTAAAGACCCCCACACACACACACACACACACACACACACACACACACACACACACACACACACACACACACACACACACACACACACACACATACACACACACACATCTTATTTTTATTACTTGTAATAAATCCATTTTGTTTGAAACCGACCTCTCCACCCTGACTGATGCTTCTAGTCTCCGCCCCTGGACCTGATCGACACAGGGAAAGGGCTGAAGGTGCAGACGGCCACACCTCATCTGGTGAGCCTGGGCAGTGGGAGGCTGAGTGTGGCAATCACCCTGTTGCCCCTAAAAGAAGGTAACACAATCAACAAACACACTCTCCTACAGCACACTCCATGGGTTAGAAGGTCATACAGTAACCGTCTCCCATCCCTTCTCCATTCATGTCTTGAAAAATCCCCACCTGTGGAGATACCAGACCTCTTTTGTCATTAACTCCTTTCTTCCTTCCTTTCTATCAGCCTTCTAACATTTTTATTCCATTTCCCTGATTTGCTTCGTCCCTTTTTTTGCCCCTCTTTGCATAATAGCTTAATTTCCATGGTTACCTGAGAGGTGTTATTGAAGAAAGCGGTACTCTTTACTAGGTAACAACAAGGTCAAGACCACAGCCTAAACTACTTTCCTCTTCAAGATTCCTTTAGACTGAAAAGAGATATTTACATACTCTACATTCACAACATAATGTTTTTTATCATTGTGAAAATGACGCTACTTAACATTTATAGTACAGGCCGACCCAACAGTTGACCATGCCATTTAGAACGACACTTTGCAGACAGACTGCAACACAAACAGCTGTCAAACATGGGATGATGACTCAAACTACTGTATATGGTTTTATGAGTTCCTGCTTTAACAGAGAAAAGAGACAAATTCTATTCAACTAAAAAAAACAGAACTCCACACTAGCCTTCAGAGAAGTGATATTAAAGTCAGTTCAAGCTGTTTTCTTAATTTTAGAAATTGCCATACATGGTGATCATTATGTGGGAACACGTACTTAACACACACTCATATGCAGGGTGATAATGGTGATGCATTTATAGTTATTTTTAGTTTGTCTGTCATCAGCCATCCACAGGTGTCCCACACTCTCCCTCTATCACTTTCCTCACAGACTCAAACACACACTCATCACATCAGCAAGATGAAGGTGCCAAAGCCTAAATACTATTCCAGTTAGTTTGCCAATCACATAAAGACAAGTTGATGTAAGCAAAGACACAGTGATGGACATGATAAAGACAAAATCATTGATTGTATAGCTGATTATAGTGCAGGATTCTGTGGATAGATGCAGTAGTTTTTACAAAGTGACTAACTTCAAGCTGACCAGATAGAGTGTATCTGTCCATAGACTGATATTGGTAACTCTCACATGATTGAGTGAGCATGTCTTGTATGGATCACAGAGCTGTCTTTACATTTGTAATACAAAAAGATGTAAAGAAAGCCAAAATAATCTGAAAAATGTGTATTTGTGTCATCTGGTCATTGTTTTTATTTGCATTATTGCACAGAAAAGGTACAGACCAGGACTTAAAGAGATCAGACCAAAGGCTACTGCTTTAGTAAAGTCAACATTGTGATGATTCATATTATAGTTCTTTGTTTTTTCTTAGTTTTTTTTTGTCATAAGCACTACCACATTACCACACTCTTTCACAATCGCTCAGCACGATGTGCCCTCCTATTTCAGAGAGGAATGTTCGCAATGTGAATGAGCCGTTTTAGGAGAACTCAAGATCTGTTTTCTCTGGAACATTCATTGAAGGAGGATAAAAAGTTAAAATTCATAAAATTAACTAAAGATCTCAATCTATCCAAATACAGTAGTTCAACCATCTTTTTTTAAAATGTAACTCCTCAGTACTACTTTATGAATATATATTATCTAAAGCTTTTCATGTCTATGAAACCAAATTGTTTTCTAGTTTTCATTTAACTTTAATCACATGTGTATTACTTGATGTTCCAGGAGTGACCCGCATAGGCAGAGAAGATGCCCCAGTTCCTCAAGACATCACTGTCCAGGGGCCTGGCGTCGAGGCGGAGCACTGTCTCATTTTTAATGAAGGTTGATGTCAGTTCTCTTTCTATCACATGATTTCATAAGGCCTCTGCTAATGCACTTGTCAAGGCTTAAGTGTGTAATATATTGTGGTTATTAATGACCCAGTAACAGAAAAGGCTTTAATCTTAATGTATTATCTAAATATATCACAATTGTTTAGAACTGAATTTACTTCAAAGTTTTAATAGTGAATTGGACTGAATTGCATAACACTGTTCCTCTGACTCTATTATTGTCTGTAACACAGGAGGGGTGGTGACCCTGGACCCCTGTGGACACCTCTGCAGTCTGGATGGAGTCCAGGTCACTGTGCCTACACCTCTCACACAAGGTAAGATCATAGACCGTTATACACAGTCTCTGGGTAGGATACACACACACACACACACACACACACACACACACATGCTTTGAAATGTTGCCACCTACTGGTCATTAAAGGAGGTAGCATTAAAGTTGGCTCAAATGCATGGAGTGAGCCAACTTGCAGTATTTCATAACTCCAGTGTGTGAGAAAGAGAAAGAAAGAGAGAGAGAGAGGGAGAACGAGAGAGAGGGAGAACGAGAGAGAGAGAGAGAGAGATGGAGAAAGAGAGAGAGAGAGAGGTTAGTTTGTGGTTTGGTTTACTTGCGTTCCTTTCAGTGTATGTATGACTCATATGGGCACAGTTAATATTGTGCTGACATTTTGCATGGAAACAGCGGGGTGTACTGTATGTGTGTGTGAGTTTCTGTGTGTATTTTCACATGAATGTATACACTAATGTGTGTGTAAGCATCTCAACATGCTTGTGTTTTGAATGAAGCAGTGCATGTGTGTGTGTGTGTGTGTGTGTGTGTGTGTGTGTGTGTGTGTGTGTGTGTGTGTGTGTGTGTGTGTGTGTGTGTGTGTGTGCCCCTGGTTTGGTTTAATTTGTTGTGGTTTGGAACAGCTAGATGCTACAATGAGTCACAGCTTCCAGCAACTGCAAAGCATGCTCTTCTAACTCTGTACTGTATAGAGTGCACAAACTTACAAAACACCCATATAAATGTAGCAGCCTCAAAATATCGAGTGAACTCCTTTTATTATCTCTCTGTCCATTCATGTCCACGTGCCAGTCTGTTTTTCTGTCTGCCAGATATCTTGATCTGTTTATCTCCTGTCTGTTCTCTATCTTCTCTCCTCTCCAGGGTTCTTATTTGGGGTTGTTTCAGCTGCAAAGCTCCCCCTGTTTCACTATTGCCAGCTGTAACAATTTCCACTCCACCCGGTTTTCCTTCCCTTTCCTATTCCTTTCCTTTCCCTTTCTTGTGTTATTTAAAAGAGCATGCAGTGCATTGGCTTTTCCCGAACCATGTGTCCAGCCTTTACTTATGCACTTTTGTCATTGTCATTGTGTCCTGTGTGACTGAGCCATTTTAAGTTAAATATTGACAGGCCTATTTATTTTCCCGTTGAGCCTGGCCGATTCAAATATTGACAACATTTTGGTGTGCCTACGCACACAAGGCCAGGGCATTGTGAAGCAGCAGGGGTGCAGAAAGGGACTGAAAGACAAAAAGGGGTTAAAAAAAAGTCAAAAGGGCATGGTTTGGAAAATTATGGAGGGAGAGAGAGGAAGAGAGGGAGAACATCTTTCAGGAATATCCAGTGGCCTTGGATGCTCTGGGTTGAGTAAGTCTAACCACACGCACACAAACACACACAAGCATTTACGCACGGGACACATACACAGTTTGGGGCAGCCTGGAGATGATTAGCTATGTTTAGGAAGTGATCTGTTCTGTATTTGGACTTTGGAGCCTGACCTGAAATCACATCAGCTTCACTCCCTTACTCAATGGAACAGCTGGATGTCAGTCTTTAAACAGTGATCTGCTCATAAACATATGACACAAATGTGACTTATTGCATGGCAACAAAAATAATTACAAACGATCAGTAAGCAATAAAGGTTGTCTTGTGCTTTTTATGTAATGTGTATTAAATGTAATAGTAGGATAGCATCTTTTTCTGCATTTCAGATCATGTGTCAGTGGAGAAAAACCCAATTTCCCAGCATTCACACTGGTCTGTGGCAAATGCAAATCAATCTGCTGAACAAAACAGCTTCACAAATAAGGCCTCTCTCCAGTGTCTCACATACACAAGAAGTAGGCTACACATGACAAAATAAAAGGTAGGAGTGCAAAGTTCTACCAAAAAAAGGAAATATCTGTTATTTGCTCTTCAGCATATCTTACCTCTAGAAAGTCTTTCACTTTGTCTCCAGAAAGTCTGGCTGGCTTAGCTACTAACAAGCCCCTTAACTACCCTTCCTCTATTGTTGTTTGCCTCATAACAAGTTAAATTTAATTATTTTTAATGTAGATTATTTGGTGTTTAAATTGAATAAAGCCAGCATGTTAACGCGTGTTTTTGGTCAGTTTTCTCAGCATAAGCTTTGACTTGTCCTAGGTACTTTGAAGAGAAAAGGAAGGAAAATAGGTAGGTAGACAAAGAAAAGCGGAGGGGGCGTCTACCAAATACCTCAATGTCTAATGGCCTTTGAACCTACCAACTACCAGTAGGGTATATGGCTTATATGCGGTTAGTAGAGATGTGTTTTCTAATTGACAATTAACAATTTTTTTCTATTTTCTTTGCTGTGTTGTTCGCTAAAACAGTCGGTAGTGATAGCATGTTTTTTGACAGTTTTAGACACCACGTTGCTTGGTATATTCTTTCTGAGGTTCATCCCCCATTCAATGAAAGTTGGTACAGTCCGGGAGACAGACCTGTAGATGGTGAATGCAGCAACTTTCTTCCTCACGGAAAGAAGTCGGGAGAGTAGACATCCTGCGGCTTTGGAGGGAGGCAAACAACAACACAGGCATCGGCAGAAGTAGTGTAGTTAAAGATTATATATCGTTTTACATCTTTTTTATTATCCATGTAAAGGTTGTCATGATAATTTGGCTGAAGTTCAAAGGAAGACGATAATTGGTCCTGTCGGGATAAGTGCTCACTGAATGGGATTCACAAGGTTTGTAACGGATTTTTAAACTAGCTCTTATCACTTAAATTATACATTTAATCAAGTTTTTAACACTTCTAAATTATTTCATTGCAGACTTCTTTATATTGGCTCTTTGTTTTGTTTCTTGAATGACATTGTAGCCTACCATTGTGCAGTGACGACGAGGTATCTTACAGCTGCTGCAAAACACATCATCTTATAGTGCTGTAGAGCTACTAGCGGTATTTTAATGTTCATACTCTCCCCTTTATACTAACATTAGGCTACTTGGTTTTTAAAACGATGAACACATTTTATTGCTATTTTTAAAGGCTGGAAATGTTTGTTTTTTAATCTACATTGTGTACCTATTTGAAGCTTTGTCTATAGACCTAAAAAGGCAGCAAAGAAACAGTATGTGCTCAACATCTGATATTATTGATTTTTCTTTCTAAAAGAATCAAAATTCATGGCAAAGAAGCCATGGAGGTGACAATTACATCCATCTGTCACTTTAAATCAAAGGAAATACTAAGCTAAAATCAGTAATTATTTCCATTTTTTTTTTTAATTGAACGTTTTTTTATTTTTATTGGGGAGTAGTGTAATCCATGCTACTGTATCAATGCTTTTTGCAGTCTTACTTTGGAGGCATTTTAGCACATTGACTGCACCTTCAATGCAAATGACCTGGGTGTATATGCATGCCCTGGGGTCACACATTGGCTGGCAAGTTCACAGACCAGTGTGACTGCGTATGACAAAGAGAACTAGCCTGTGGCTGCGAGGACAGGTTTAGGATACTTGACACCTAAATACAAAACCTGCTCCATTGTCTTGGATGTTATTGTGTTCTCAAGCCGTTTTCTGCCGGCCTCTGGCACATTTTTTTTTTTTTGCCTTTTAGCAAATATTACATTGGAAATAAGTTAATAAGAAATATGTCCTTGTTATCAGTCTGCACAGTGTCCAATTTAGCTTTCTTTCTTTGTTTCAGATGTATTCGTTTTAAAGTGTTGAGACATGTGGTATTTACCAGGCATGCAAACGCTTGGATGAGTTTGAGATAAAGCAGTGAAAGATATCTAAACCTCTGAGCCTCTGGTTGGGGCCAGATTATGCATCTGTGTGTGTGTGTGTGTGTGTGTGTAGAATGAGAGAGAAAGTGTGAGTGACTGATCTAATCTACAAAGTGTCCCCAGAGAAAGAACAGTCTGTTTTTTTATGGTGTTACTGTTGTACCCCATGTGCCCCATGCAGGGTTAATTTGTGGTTTTTGAGGCCAATTAACATTCCCATTGGGACCATTGTGTGTCTTTTCATGAAGAAGTAAACTCAACATCAGTTCAGTGCTTTGACGATTACAGAGCAACATTATGAAGGATACTGTTGTTCTTCTTCAAATGATTGATACTGTTTGATTGTAAGAAAGGGGGATATTTTTTAGGTTGTGTTAGGAACTTTTGGATTGTGATCACTGCTGGTGAAAAAACCTGATCAATTAGCAGGCCATGTAGGTCCAAGCACATGTTCAACATGGGATCTTTGTAATTGGTTTATTTTTCATTCTAACCTAATGGTCTTAAATTGGGCAAATTCTCCACTTATGTTAACTAAATAGAGAAACAGTTTTGAGTTCCCCCTTCCATAACATTGTGGTGAGAGAGTTTAATTTTGTTCTCTCAGATCTACATGGGAACAGAAACAGGCACCAGGCGAGATACAGCTCCTACATCTGTGTCATCAAAGACTCTGAGGTCTGACTTTGTGGATCGCAAACTTTAAATTATCCTATAAATGTATACACAGACTTGTTTTCAGTCTGGTTGTTTTGGAGAGGGTCTGTCAATAAGTGTGTATGCATCAGGGGGTGCATGCCTCGACATGGGAGGCAGACTCAATTTGCTAGTAAACAATTAAACACTTAAATTAAACCTGTTTTGTTGTGGATGTCACAAACACACACACATGCTGCTGTTATTTATTTTTGCTGAAGATGTGAAGGAGGATAGGATTAGTGAGTGGTTATTTGTTAGCTAAGAAGTCCGGGGAGGAAATTAGAAAAAGCAGAGGGGTGGGGGTTGTGAACAAATCAGGTCGACACACTTTACCCTCCACTTTAAAGGTGGCACATGGCGAGGCTTTTGAGGGGAGGAAATTAGATTTTTACAAGAGCTGGCTGCTGGCAAAGAGAGGGAGTGTGTATGTGTGTGCTTCTGTTTTTGCTGTTGTGCTAAATACTGAGAGTTACTGTGAGTCACTAGGCAGTCACCGTTATGAGACACATTTTCACACACACATACAGAGAATGACAACATTCAAAAGACAAACACACGTTACTCATGTGTGGCAATAACAAACTCTTGTATTATTAGGCTTTGCTCACGTCATCCCTTTGTGTGTGTCACAACTCTTCTGATCTCTCCGTCATGATGCTTTTGCTTCACAGTATGTATGCACCCAAACCTGTAGGATAGTGTTTACATGAGTATGTATTTGAGACGTTCACAGTCCAGCTGTGTAGACTAAACATTCCTTGCACTGTTTTCATGTGTGTGGTGCAAGCTTCACCTCACGACTTCACTCAGATCTCCACCTGTGCTGGGAAACTACAATTATCAAGAACTCCTCTCTGGGAACGTCAAGGCAATGTTTAGACAGATAGGACCCCTCTTAGTTAAACTATAAGCCCTTATTTGGCTATTAGCATTTTTTTTTAGCTTAAATAACTTGCTGTGGAACTAGACATAGAGTGAGAGTAAAAAGGAACGATTACAATAAGTGAAGGGAAAAGAGAAAAAAACTGGGATATTTTTCCACTCAGTCTTTTTCCATTCACCCTCTCGCTATCCCCCCTCATGCCTCAGTGCTTGTGTCTGACTTCAGGTCTAAGGAATCTGATGTAACTGTAATGGAGCTATTAAGAAGGTGCTGTTTTAGGCTTCAACACACATGTGGGGGTTTACAGTACTGTAATGCTTATTTGAACCTTTCACCCGCAGAGGTGGTTTTCTGTATCCTCTTTACTCCTCAAAATGTGCATTTGGTGTTGGGTTTTCATTTTTTTGGTGCCATTTTTCACTTTAATTCTCCTTTTGTGTGTGTCAGCACTACTGCTGTCTCTTCCCCTCTGAGGTATTTGGACAGCTGTGTCTGGCTGTGTGTATTACAGAGGTTGCGACCCTGACATCTTGTTTAATACCTGGCCCTCTCAGCCTAATTGATGGCCAGAGCAAACACAGTGGTCTGGGATGGCTGGCTATGCACCAGTGCCTGCAAGTGTGTGTCTGGCTGTGAATAAATATTCCAGGCTTAAACAAATATGAAGCAGTACTCATGACTACCTCTTCATGCTTGGAATATATAATGCCTAATATACATGTCAACATAAACTAGTGTAGTAAAGTTAGTTCATATTGTTATACTCGTTATACAACTGTCTGCCTGACTGTAGATCACTCAGTAAATATCTGCTGTTTCTTTATTTGTTTGTGTGTTATCTCTCTCCAGGTTACTCATTGTGTCTGGGTAAATCCTATTTCTTCCGGTTCAACCATCCAGAGGAGGCCAGCAGAATGAAGAGCATGCTTCCCCAGAAGAGCCCTGTGTCTGCCTTGGCTTACAACACAGGTAAACAAACACATGAAAGCACAAACACACACTAGGGGTCTGCTAAACCTCTTCCTTAACCTCTAACCTGCACCTGATCCCTGTCCTTTTTTCCCTTGATATTCTCTCTGCCTTTGTTCTGCCACATCATCATCTTCTCTTCCAGCCCCTCTCCCTCCCCTTTTATCTGTTCTATATGAAAGTCCTTCAATTCCCACCTGTAGATCTTCATCTGCTTTTTTTGATGAAACATCAGACCCCCCCCCCCCCCCCTGCCAGAGTATAAAGTTACAGGTAGACAAGACCCACACAGGTGTGTGAGAATAGGATCTTAATTTTGTGTGTGTGTGTGTATGTGTTAGAAAGACTGAAGGGATGGGGGGAGGCAGGTATTTCTCTCAGTTCTCTCACATATCTTCCCTAAACATGTGCTCTCACTGTCAAACACATGTGAAAACTTAAAGTCAAAGCACATTGGAATGTTTTTGTCATCTGGCGCTCCTCCGTTGCCGTGGTGATACTTCTGTCTCTTTATTGATTGATCGGGCTGTAAGATAGGTGTGTGTCTGTTTGCCATAATCAGTGGAATCCTCCCTCCGTAAACCCCTTACATAAGGAGCGCACTCCTCCCTCCCCAGCTTCCAGCTCTCATATTCACACATTCATGCACACGCTTAACAGATTTTCTATTGCGCTATGCTAAAATCGTCACCATCATCATCCAGATCGCCAAGACTCACACACTCTAAAACACGCTCCTAAGGTGAAAACTATGAGCTCAGCATTGAAGAGAATAGAACGGAGTTGATGCACACCAGGCCTCCTGTATAAATCTGCCCATGTATGGACACTAACACCCTGAGTATGTGTGTCTAGCTGTGTGTGTGTGCTTCTGGATCTTATGATGCCTTTAATTTTCTGCCCCATTTCTCTCCACCATGTAAGGTTAGACGTTTTCTCACACTGGCTTATAATCAGCTATGATGTGCACTTTTTGGTGCTTTTGTTTTGTTTCTTTTTTCTTTTCAAAATAACCCATCAAGTAGTGTTAGTTAAGTATTCTCACTTATGCTTGAACATTTGAACGCATATGTTCACTCTTGGCATGTGTGCATATGTAGCATACACATAATGTTTTTCTCAGGCGCAGGCCCACATATGTCAGTTGTTGGAAAACCTTTTGTGTGTGTGTGTGTGTGCGGGCGTGTGTGTGCGAGCGTTTGTGTCAGTTAAACACTGGGTGGTCTTCAACATTGTAATAGGTCCTTTTCCACTTAAATCCACAAATGAATTCAGCAGACTGGACGGGTTTCTCAGATTTTGATTTCCCTTACCTTAGTGTTTTACTAGTGTATTTTTGATGATGGAATATTATATATTTTTTCAATTTGACTCTTAAAATAAAATAAATCAAGTGCCTTTAATTTCTATTGTCAGCATTATTCTGCCAAATGAAATTTTTTTTTTTTTTTGCTGATTTGGCTGCAAGATTTTTGGAGAAGGAAGTAAAAACTGACTGTCAGTTGAGGTTTTGAAAAAGACCCCCTCATGGCTAAAATGGCTTTAAATAAAGGCTTTAGGAAGGGCCGGGGGCCTCCTGAGAGTAGTCAAGAATATTTTGTGGTCTTTTTCATTTCCCCAAATCCTACTCTTAGAAACTGAAGTCAAAAAAGGGTTGCTATGTTTGTGTTGGATCTAATGGATGGTTTGTCAGAGGGTGTATTTGCATGTGTGTGTGATTGGACTCCTATTCTTGGTGGTTAGCTACCATTTGCAGATTGTTTGGGTTGAGTTTGTCCTGCCAAGGCCCCTATCTATGAATAGCTGCTGCTTCAGGTACATACACAGGCCCACTCCCCCCGCCTCATACTCTCTTCTGCAAGCATTTATGCCCCTGCCCCTCCCTCTTTTTCTTCTTCTACCTTCTTTGTTTCCTGCTACTGGTATTGTGTAGCTACATTTTCCAAAAGCTGAACAAATACACTATGTTACATCCATCCATCTCTCAATAGTTATACTTTATACTTGTACTTTGTATCTTCCCTCCTTTTTGTCTATTTTGTTTACCATTAATATATTCCTGTTTTCTTACAGGGTAATTGTAACCCCATATTCATCTTTTGAATTTCTTTCTCAATTTAACTCTTACCCATCTCCAGACTACCTGAAGTTCAGTAGTGACTATGGTCATGCAGTGGTGGGTGGCACTAGCAGTGCTAGAGGCATGCGATCAGCCTCTGAGCTCCGAGACTTGATGGACACCCTGCAGCGTAAGAAGATTGCCCTGGAGAACAGCCTCAGAGCCAACGGGAACGCCAATCCTTCCTACTTCAGTGTCACACAGGTCAGCTTTCATTGAGCTCCACATCTGAATGTATTATTCAGCCTTCTCTGTCAGGCTTATAGAGTCTGTATGGTAAGCCAGGATGTTTGTCTTGGGCTAAGCAGGGTTTCCTGATGATCTAAAAGCCCAGACATGTCTAAATACTGCTTACCTGTTATCACTGTCACAACTACAGTGTTAAACAGCAAAATAATGCTTATTCATTATTCCTGTTTATGTGACATCGCTTAAATGAGGTACCATTAGATGCAAAAGAGTAGTATTTATTGCTCTAAATTTGTCATATTTTTAATGCATTAGATATTACAGTATGTGTTTCCTGAGGTAACATCTGTTTTCCCTTTTCTACCAGTCTCCTCCCACCTCACCGACCACCAGTCCCGCCACATCATCCACAGCCTATCAGGAACAAGCAAGACGGTTCTATGGCTCAGATCGTCCTCCCATGTCTTTGAAATCTGCTCCCCCTCCTTCCCCTGGACGTCGATCAGACCCTTCTTCTTCCTCCCGCACCTTGATCAGTCGGAACCAAGAAAACTACAGCATTGGCGATAGCCGACGGCTGCACAACCCGGGCTCCTCTAATTTACTGTCCACATGGAACGGTGGCGGTTCCTCAATATCTGTGGATGGTAGCAACACCCTCCTCCTGACTCTACCTCCATCCTCCACCCGCACTCCATCAACAGGAGGTGCGGTCAGCATGCCCTCAAGCCCACGTCTTGGCCGCCGTAGCTTTGGCAACCAAGAGCCATTGCCCAGCAGTCGAACCAGGAAGTATTCGGCGGGCTCACTGAATGGGATGATAGTTGGTGGACACAGCCGCTCCCTGCCACGCCTCTGCCCCTCTACATCTCCCCGTGACAACAACAATGGAGGTCTGACCCTGTCAACCTTGCCCCCACGGCGATCTGATGTTGCCGGGGGTTATAAATATAGTAAAGACTATTACAACAATCAGAATGGCAATTCTGACCTCAACCACAACTCCAGCATCTCCAGTCAGCTTTACTCCAATAGAAATCAAATACAGAGCACCAACCAGGGGGAAGGTGTTGTGTCTATCTCCCTCTCTTCCCCTAAGAACGTGCCTTCCGTAACTCCCTCCATCTCTTCTACAACAACCCAACCTGACGTGACCATCCCATCGAAAGCAGGGGGCTCCTCTTCTCCTCGTGTTGCCAAAAAACTCAGCCTGACCTCCACTAGCTCCGTGGGCTCCATCAGCTCCTTGAGTTCCATCCCAGCAGAACTGGCAGGTCGTGGAGTTACAGGAGGAATGGATGCTTATTTGGGGGATAGGAGAGGGGTAGGACTAGAACTCAGCAGTGCCCCTGGGCTTGGATTTGGCGAGAGGAGGTCTTCATTTGGAAAGGCGGGTCTAGAACCTGGGGTGGGGCTGGGTGAGAGGAGGCAGTCATTTGGAAAGGCTGGAGTGACCCCACCTGGGGGTTTCAGGGAACGAAGGGGGAGTATCAGCTCACTGAGTGGGAAGGAGGAACTGACAGACTACCACCAGAGGCAAAAAGGGGAGAGACTACGGGAGCAGGAGGTGGAGAGACTGGTGAGTTTGTTTCCCTCATAGCCCCATTGTCCAGAAATTCAAATTACGGCAACGTAATGTCAGATCAAATTACACTGTGTAGATGAAGCCTGTGAAACTGCATCCAGTGGTTTAGGGTGTAATTTATTTAAGATTACAGATTGGCAGACTTTTGACAGAGTAACTATTTGTTACTGTTAGATTTATAAATGTGGAGATGAAAGTTGGAAGGTTGAAATCACACAAAGACACAAATGTCCTGGAATGACTTCAGGAATGTCTCCCTTCATACTAACCTTCTTCACGTCCCTTCAAACACACTCTCCCAGGGAGTAACACACACACACACACACACACAGTTAGGTCCACCATTACACAGATGCCTCTGGCTGCTTGCTGTGTAATACAGCACTATTCTTAACCCTGTGCTTGCTACATGTGTATGTTTGTGTATGTGCGGTGCATGTTTGTGTCAGTCAACTGGAGGTTCGCCCAGTGTGGTTCGGACCGCTGAAGAGCCACAGAGCACATCAGTAAGATGTCGGTCAGTGGAACCCAGAAGATTAGAGAGCAGAGTTTAAGTGTAGCAGGTGGATAAACATACAGATGCTCAACATATAATGACAACTGGACTCATAAACTCTCTCTCTTTTTGTCTCTCTCTTTCACACAGCCATATTCTGCTAAGTTGTCTTGTGGTTAAATCTGTGAGAAATAGTTTTCTGGAGGTTGTACAAACCAAACTGCTTATCAAGCTTCACACTGGTTTTCAGTTCGCTGCCAGATATCTTTGAATTGAAGTTATACAAGATGGAGTACAGTGGGCCGGCCCTTTTGCCATGATTATGGAGCCAAACTGAAAAGTATCAAGATGGAAAATGTACCTAACCCCAGCAGTTTTACATGATTATACAGACAATTATTTTTTAGTGTGTATCCTGATGTGGAAGCTTCTTGTTGCTTAGGTTACAAGATGTAATCAGTCTCAGTGTTTACTGTATACATTTATTTGCATTTTATGTTGATACCAGTTTCTGTGAGTCCATCTATAGAAAATGTTGTCTGACCTTAGTCTACCCTCTAGTGGTATAAGAGAAACTCTGCATGCTGTCCATACTTTTATGTTATTAGGTTGTGTGCATTCACAGCTTTATCTGGATATAACCTGGAAAAAAACAACAGTGGACAAGGTTAGATCTTGTGTCATTCAGGGTGGTCATCTTACATGCATCTGTTGAAGTCAAACTACGTTTAAGTTATTTTATTCTGTCTTTCCATTCTAACAAGTTTGCATTTGGCAAAGCATTTTCGGCTTAAATAGTTTGGAATTTAAAAAATACAAATACGAGTGCCACAATATCAATGTTGTAAGGCCAAGAGGAAGATAGAGACAAACATTGGAATTTAGATAATGTCCATACTCTTTCTTTAATAACTTTAATAACAAGCACTTCAGAAAGATATCAGATTCATTTAACTCAAATGCTCCTCATTAGTCAGTCTCATGCACCAGATTATTTTTCCCTCTTCCTTTTACACTTTCTTCCACTTTTTTTTTTTTTTTTTTTCCATTTTCTTTCAGATATTTTCCCCCGCAATTTATTCACTATTGGCCTGGCTTTCCAAATGGATATGTCTCTCCCTTACTCTGTCTCTCTCTCTCCTTTGTGTCTTTGTAGTAGTAGACAGCTGATCACTAAACAGACTCCAGAGACTTGTGTGCATTAGAATAGAACAAGGTGACAAACTGACACAGGCTTGTTTAGCCTCTGGTTCATATTACACTCTATAAATGGGTTGTGTATGTTTGTTTGTGTGCATTTACACATACATGCAGTATTTTTCCCCTGTTAACTAATTATTTCTATTAATTCGAATACATTAGTTTTATATTAACTTTTCCTAAAATGAATGCATGAAATGATTATATCCTATTTAGTGAAACAAACGCTTCTGAGAAGCATCTCTTCAGCCTATCTGAACAGGTAACTTCAAAAGCCTATAACCTGCTTCAAATGCCTTCCTAGAGGACAATTTCCCAGAAAGTGTCTTGTTTTCTTAGTGTCAGTACAGCAGACACATTCCTGCATTTGGAGTCATGGCCTGCTCTTGTGCACACTTCCTATAGTTGACAGCTGTCCACCTTCTTATTAGCCTACTCTCTCTCTCTCTATCTCTCTCTCTGTCTCTCTCTCTCTATCTCTCTCTCACACATCACTCTGGACCATACCTTTTTTTCTAACCTCCTTTCCGTTTCTAATATCACATACAGAGGCATGTTGTGCGGCTTACACACCTCTCCCTCAACAGAAGTTACTGCTGAACCTATGAGAGGGTATTTTGACTCCCTGCAGCCCCTGTAACTCCCCATATAGCTCTGTTAGGGCGGTGAGACCTGTAGAAAGGGGAACTCTTGCTCTACGGATCCTACAAGGATAACAGAATCGTCTTTCTATTGCATGCATATCGGCTCTATTGTGTATGTTAAATACATACAGCAGTTGATGGTACTGAGCGTATGTTGGACTAAATGAGGACATTTTAAGCGGCGTGACTGACTTCTGCAATGCTTCCTCAGGTAACCTGAGCATTGGAAACTTTATTCTATGATGTAAAGACATAATAATACTGCAGCAGTGGAGCTGTTGTGACTCTAGTATGGAACATGTGTGCATTTATTTTAACATAAGGCCTAGGCAGGTAAAGTCGAATGTAACGTTGGCATGAGCTCAAAAATGATCTTATGTACTGGTTTGAATAGTCAAATGAAAGCTTGAATTGAGGTACACACATTTGATGCCTATTAGACGAGTCTCACCTTTTTATAACAGGATGTATGTAGTTTACAGATTATCAACCATGACAGACTTTTGAAAATTGTCTTTGTTACTTAGGACAGGGTTATACTTTATTTGTGTTGCACCAAAAGCTCTATGCTGTGTTGAGGTTATTGCACTGACTGAGGTGAAACCAAAAGTGTGTTGACTTTTGGTCAAAAAACACTACTAAAGAATATTGAAGCCTTTCAAATGTACTTCCCTAAAAAATAAAAAAAATCTCTGTTTGTGCTCATCTCAGGAGCGGCAGCGGCTTGAGACCATCTTGTCTCTGTGTACGGAGCTGGGTCGGTCTGAGAGAGATGGAGGTGGCACAACTACTGCTCCGACTTCGGCTGTAGCAGATCTCCAAAAGATCAATCAGGAGCTCGAGAAGCTTCAAGTGAACGACGACGACGATGACGACACACCATCAGTCTTTTCGGACTCCTCGGCTTTTAATGGAACCACAGAGAATGGACACACCGTCTCCCCTGGATTAGAGAATGGTTACTATGACAACGATCTACAGGTACGACAGAGACGCAGCAGCGGCGGCCAGCGAGACAACAGGGCAGAATCCCCTGCTGTCAGTCTGCGAAGCTTTGGCCCCTCCCCTTCTCCTCGTACACAGAGGAACAATGAGGTACATTTATTTGTACATATGAACCCCCCCTCCCCCTCCTTAAAATCTCTGTTGTCATACTGTATTAAGTATTGAACAGTTGACTGATACCTGAATTAGCAACAGACCAACTCAAAGGTCACTTCTTAATGCACAGAGATGTATAAAACATACATGTTTGCAGGGTCCTACCCCTATGACCCTCCTCCTTACCAAGGCTTAGAAAAAAACATTAAACCGAGAAAGGGAGACCTGAGTGCACAGATTGGTTCAATCTAGAGTTGAGAGAATTGCTGAACAGGACGTGATTTTCTTTTTTGGTATATTGGTATTCTGTTTCATTCTGTGGTTACAGACTGGAGTCAGATGAACATTGTTGACAGAGATTATAATCCATAAACAATCTGTTTGAAGTGGCGCCAATCCAGTTTAAATTCTGCCTCATGCACATCCTCTGTAAGAAAAGAGTGCAAGACTGCTAAAGTGGCACCTTTGACTTTGTTCAGCCTCTTTAAAGATTAATCCGGATTAATGTGGGAAGTGGTTATGTGCCCTGCTCTTTTTGGAAAACAGAAGAGTCACAAGTATCAACATACACATCCTTCACATACACAGATGGGAGATATTTACAGCCCATTTATTAGATTAGAGCAGGCCAAGTGTTACCATTCAGAACAGGCAGCTGGTGTTTATGTATGTGGGTGATTGTGTGCTTGTGTCTGCACACATTTCTTGGCTGTTGAAGAACAAAAGTTCCTCGTAGCAAAGGATGAGTAGAATTAAAAATGCTAAGTAGACCTAGTTTCCCCAATTATTGAATTGATAGTCAATATAAATTATGGCCATAAATCACCAATAACAGGTATCATAATTTAGATCTTATCAATGGTGCAATCCTTGACTTTGTTGATAATGCTGTTTCCAGGCTCTAGATGAAGCTGCTCGTTACCGTAGACAAGAAATGAGGCCATCAGAGGAGGAAGTGAGGCGTGTGGAGGAGGAGAGGATCCAGGTGCTGAACAACATGGAGGAGGTGGAGCAAAAGATCAAAGAGCTGGACAACCAAATAGAGGAGTCTTCCCGAGAGGTAAGAAAAATATGAAGAGGGAGGGTGGGGGGGGGGTTCAATAGATACAACACTTCTTTTACCTAACTTGTTTGTGAAACTGAAATGATATTATGTAACATAATGTACAGATTTTAATTAAAGTAAGGATCAACCAGGTATTCAAAATCAGTTCTGTTCAGAAAAATAACAGAAGACTCAAATGACTTCCTTACTCGTGTGTTTATCCTAGGTGGAGGTTGAGCGAGCTTTGGTGGAGGCAGAGATGGAGTCAGAGGCAGCTGCTCTTCAGCAGGAAAAAGATGCTTTAGAGGCACTCCACAACAAGATGGCCGACCTAGAGACCAAGTCCCAGCAAGAAAAAGAAAAGGTATTTGACAAACAGTCCTTAATTGTAAATGAAGAATGGCCAAATGGAAACCTCTCAGAGATTCATTATGATGACACAGCGGCCAAGAGCCTGTTAACATTCAGGCGAGTTAAAAGACAAGAGGACACTTGAAATGCTGAAAGAACTAACCCTGAACGTGATTAAGACATTTGATGGTGCACTGTGCAAACAGATTGAACTTCTTTGCTCAGGCACTGGTAAGTGATATTACTGTGAGTTAAGAGTTTTCAACGTATGTATGTATGTATTTTTCCTCCAAAGGTGTTAGTGTGTGTGTGTGTGAGACGTTGAAAATAAATGTGCTATGTTGAGACTCTTATAAATTAAGGGGTCATGTGACTTGCTGGTAGGTGTTAATCCTTCTCATGCCGTCTTTGGTCCAAATATATATCTGTTAATAATGCCCAGGGTGTAGTGGTCACCAAGTGTTACTATCTTACACCCTCTCCTGCTGAGGGAGCGAGTGTGTGTGTGTGTGTCAGTCTACAGTTCAACCAATATATGGTATCATTCACTGAGTGTGAAGTGTAGGTGGAGAAACGTATTGAATTTGTTGTGTGTACGTGTGTTTGGATGTATGTGTTTGGTTTGGGTTTGGACTGAGTGGTTGCATCATTCTGAAACGTACATGAACACACACCCAGTAGATACTGTACTATAAAACCTCATCATGATACAGAGTGTGATTAAGGGAAAGAGAGGCAGATCAGTTAGAAACCAACTGTTTACTTTCTAAGACTTACTTAAAGGAAGTGAAGGTGAATGCTTGGAAAGGTTTGGGTGACTGTATTTGTTGCGGTATTCATAAAAAAACACATTCATCTTTTCATCCATGAACTAGATCATTTCCATTCAATCAGAGAGGAAAAATGACAACAGACAGAACTCATGGCACAATTTTCATTCTATCTCCATGCCACTCCATTTCAGTTTAATTCCTCCTTAGTTCTCCATCCCTTAGTATTTTATTTCTCCAGCTTCCCCGCCCTCCCATCCCTCTAGGCTAATCTTGCTGACCTGGTTGCCGTAGTGACTAACTGTTGCTCCCCCTGTCCCACTAACGCTGCCATCCTCTCTCTGTCCTGTGTATGTGTGTCTGTTTGTATGTGCACATAAACAAATGTGTACATTGGGTGTGTGTATGGGCATGTTTGTGCATCTCTGTGGACATGTGTGTATGTCAGGCGTGCGAGTTGCTGCAGGCAGAAAGGGGCAGAGTAGAGAGGTTGGCTCAGATTGTGTGTGAGCAACGCTCCCAGCTGGACAGCTGCCCTGAGGCCACCAAGGAGCCCCTGCAGGAGCAGCTGGCCAGGGTCAGTACACACACACACACACACTTCACAAATATCGATCAGCTTTGTAAGTGATCCATCTTTTCTATAATACAATTAATCTTTTAAAAAGCTTCTACATTTTAGTGTTTTGTTTGCTTCGCTCATGTATGTTATGGTGGGCAAAATATTAGGAACACCATTCAATATAATGTACTTGAAAAACATCATCACCCACTTCAGATTTAATGTCATATATGAAGTAGAAGTATCACCTTTCTAAACTTGCAAACAAAAATGTAAAATGTAGAAGTTTTGTGAAAGTAGATTTTATGGGAGGACTTTTGTATTGGATTGTATAAAATTGCATAGATGGTCATTATTTTATGGCTGATCTATGTGTACTTGACTAATATATTCATTAGAATATATATATTTTTTTTCCTTTGTTTTCTTTCCTATGTTTTTTTTGTTTCCTTTCTGCTTTTCTACTTAATAGTGTCTGTAAAAGCTCTGCATGCACACTCACAGAGAGGGAAACTCAGAAATTAACAGACGTATGTGTACATAATGACTGTTAACATTTGAAGTTTATGTATACAGAAGATCACAGACCCAGAAAAAAAAGAGCCATGTGAGGGCTAGCATACTATGAAATGCATGTGGACATGCATATAAATGTATTTTCTTAACTGAGTGAATTGCCTGGTCCATGTTGTTTCATGTTTTCTCCTCTATATTTCTAACCTTGTTGTTTGTCTACACATCATATTGTTTTAATAAAGAGGGTGAAGCCTGTAAGAGTCTGAAATATGATCAAAATAACTTTAGAAGTCATCGTAATCTGTGTCCCTATTATGAGCGTGCAACCTGCAACTCAATTGCTAGCCAGGATGAAACACTTTAATAGCCAACAGAGCCCCCTTGTGGTCAAACACTGAAACTGCCATACAGAGAATGTAAACACAGTAATAAGAAAATATGCATGTCCAAATGTTTGATGCAAATAACAGAAAACATCCACTTGTTTTCTATCATTTGGGATTTTAACTTTTTTTCGTTACATCCATCACAGCTGTAGTGTCTTATTTTAAACAAAACCAATTTTGTGCTTTATAGACTGGGGATGAATTTGATCTAGTTTGGGTGTGTTCTTGTCAATGCAACAAATCATTGTCCAATGCATGTCATCATTTTGGACGCGTCGATCTGTTTGTTTTACCTTTTCCTTGGCTTATGCCCCGCATAACTCAAGACTCCCCCCACAGTTCAGCAACAAATAAGAGTTACACATGTTGGCTCCAACAACAAACCTACAAGCACACAAAAGTACAAATTGTGGAGTCCAGAATAGAAACAAGTTATATTTGTAAAACCTAAAGTTGTTTGCCAGATTTAAGATAAGAGGAATCATGACTTATGCTTGTGCATGAACACACACAACAGAAGCTCACTACTCTTCACCAAGGGAACATGAGGAGAAGGTTAAAGGGAGAGAGGTGTGTCTACATAAACTATGGCAAGACTTTCCTACACCTGAATGTGTGTATTGACAGACACCAAACAATCCACCAATCAATCAATTCATGAATCAGCTATCCAATCTGTAAAGGTCGCTGACACGATTACACAGATGACTGCAAACTCATGATCAGAGCCATTTTATTTTTCTGGTCTTTAATTTACTTAAGCTGCATGTGTTTTCTCGTGATGCTCTGTTCTCCGTAATCATTTGTTTACATCATAGGAGTCTCAGTTTGTCTATAATTTAGAAGAATGCTTACAGTGTGTCCTTGTCGCATGTTTACTATAACTGGTTATGCTTTGGTGTCCGCATGACTGCTCAGTGTTGGAGAAACATCTGGGTTCTGTGTGTCTGGTTTGCATCACCTGTGTCAAATCAAATGTATTTGGGTGGAAGGCTTACAGAGCTTACAACCAGTGACAGGGGGTTTTCAACTGGAAAAATGTCAAATGTTCAATTTTAAAAAGGACATTTTTAACTGAAATCAAGTAATGTGTTAGACTGTTCATGAACTCTTGAATGTTAATCACTAAATCACCACTCAGCCCAGTTTTCACAATGTGTCTGAACCATAAAACCTAATGTTAATTACTGCTTTATTGCTGTTAAAATCCTTATTATTATTATTATTATTATTATTATTATTATTATTGTAAAATAATAATTGTATTAACATGTATTTAACCACCATTCATCCCTCTTTATGTATGTGTGTTTCTCAAATCCTTGTTGTACACTGGTGTCTTTTCTGAAGTTTGTTGCTCTCCTCGTGTGCACTGGCCTTCCACAGTCCTGCCTGTTTATCCCTGCTTTGTTTTCTCTGTGTGTTTGTGCGTAGGACTGTGAAGTGCTAGAGACGGAGACAAAGCGTTTCGAGGACCTTGAGTTTCAGCAACTGGAAAAAGAGAGCAGGCAGGATGAGGAGAAGGAGACCCATACACAACAACTCCTCCGGGAGATAGCTGACCATCAGCGAAGCACCGTCACTCGCAAGGTAACCGCTGTCACAGCAATTTATCCACGCCAGAAGACATCTTCAGTTTGCACTTCAATTACAGACAGAAAACATTGATAGATTCAACTGATAAATTGTTAAAAAAAAAACTTTGATGAACAGCTTAAGTGAGTTTAAATTGGTTTAAAAGAAGCTTTGGTATTAGTTTTAGCAACATGATCTATAAGGGAGCTAAAAACATGTAACATATTGTTTTTTCTTTTTCTTCAGGAGAGACTATTAACACTGAAAAAGCAGGCAGTGCAGATTACCCAGCAGGCTCAGCGAGAGAAGGAGAGCTTCATGAAGGAGAGAAGCAACCTTGAAGCAATGCTACAAAGGGTAGGAGAATTGTCATCGTCTTGTATTTGATTTATTATTAATATGAAAAGGGGAAGGGTCAGGAACGCTTTTAGTTTGAGTATCTTTTGACACGCCTTTTTTTTTCCTTTAGGAGAAAGAAAACCTCGCCACGCTTGAAAGAAAATATGCTGATCTCACCGGTGGCAGAGGTTTCACTCTAAGGGAGGTAAGTTTGATCGACAGCTGTGGGAACAGAGAATGAGAACTGCCTTCCCCTTTTAGCCTCCTAAAGTAAGCAGGATCCTCCTCCTCCTGTCTAATCTCTGGGGTTTCCTTCTCTACTCGTTAGGAGAAAGCCTTACTGGCTGATGTGTGTCAGTCTTTTAGTCATCGGTGCCATTACAACACATCTGCCACATGTCCTCCTCCAGTAAACATGTGTGCCCTCTCATCCCTCCTTTCCTCTATTTCTCTCAAGAGTGCTGAGGTACTTTCTTCTTATATTTCTCACATGTCCCTCTCTGTTCTTCTCTTTGTCCAGATTGTCCGTTCTCCTCCTTCTATCTAGTTCTTTGTATTTCCTCCCCCTTTTTTCCACTCGTTATAACTTGCAGAAACAGTTTGATTCATTTGATGCACAGCTCATACTCACACATATTAATTCCGTGGTAACCTTGTAAGAATGTCTTTTGTCTCGTGTAATCTTCTCAGTCTGTGTTAACAGTGTAATAACTTGTTTGTGTGTCTAAACTTATTTTGATGTGAAAAAGCTGCAATCACAGAATTCTGCATCGTTCTAACAAAGTTTTGTGTTAACATATTAATAAGGCCGACTGACTTCATGCAATGCCTCACCCCTTCTCTCTTCCCCACTCTCAACATGATACCTTTCAGGGCTATGTCACAGTCAGTGAAATCAATGAGCTTTACTCACAGCTTGGGGGGGAACTTAAACCCGCCCCCGCCTCTGCCTTGGCCAATGCCTCTCCAGAGTCCACCGCAAACCCCTCCCCTGATGGCGACACCTCAAAACCACCAGAGGATGAGGTGTGTGTGTAGAGGTGTAAATTGACTGCATATGTAGTGCAGTACAAAGACGTAGATTTTGAAAAGTGTGTGTGTGAACAATCGTGTGATTTTCCCCAATTTCCTTTCTTCTTCTGCACTGTTTGAGTTTTCTGACAATTTTCCTTTCTTCTTTTTCAAGCTCTGTCATTCTTCCTCACCTGCCGACTGTCATTCCTCTTCCTCCTCCTCTTCTTCTTCCTCCTTTTATCTAAATCCCCGCCCCCTTCCCAAAACCCCCTCTGTGCATTGGCCAGAGAACATGGTGTCATATCGAGACCCCTCTCCCCTCCCTGACTCCCCCCCACCTCCCCTTCCTGTCAAAAAACAACATCACCGACACAGGCAGGTAATATGTGTGTGTGTGTGTGTGTGTGTGTGTGTGTGTGTGTGTGTGTGTTTGTCTGTGTGTGTGTAAGTTTCAGCCACTGAGTGAGCGCCTTTTCTTGTTGTAAGAGTTATGTAAATGATGAACAATCGATAAATAGTTTACTGTGTTCGTCCCTTCCCTGTTGTGTCGTTGTGTGTTGGATCAGCAATTCCGTTTGTTGGAAGAGAGAAAGAGGTCTGAGAGAGAATCCGGCTCCCACCTAAGTGACACCCTACCCAGGAAGAGAAGCACACCCACCATGACGCCTCAGTTCACTAGCGCAACACTGGGACGCAACTTCTCTAACAAGGTATGCACATATAAGAGGGTCACATGTGAATAAATCCACATCAATTATAAGGATGCCATCATTTTTCATATTGGTCCAAACGTTTCTTTCCTGTTTTTTTTATTCTATTGTTTTGTGTATTATAATGAAAGTAAAGAAACTACACACTGTGTCATTTTTTTCTGAATACTTCAAACATTGTTAATCTGTTTTATAGTCCCACCAGCCGCTGGTTCAGAGCACAAGTTGTGGCAGCATTCTTCCAAGAATTTTCTCCCTATCCAACAAGGAGACTGAATCTCGACGTCTGCATAAAGGTACACACCCTTCCTCACATGTACGACCTTCATCTGATAGACACAAACACAAGAGTAGTCTGGAATACATTTCATTTCCCTTACACAGACTTTCTGAATGTTTCATTATCCCTCTTCTCTTACTGTGTATTGACTCGCAAACATACTCATCTTTGGGCTTTCACAGAAAACAATGCACCATATATGGTGATGTCCACATTTTGTGTGCTGTTGTGCACCTCAGTTTTGTTTTATCTAATTTGTTTATCGGTCGTTGGAGATAACACAGGAATGTAAGTGGTGGAGGGGCTGTTTCATCATGTTGGTGCAGAGTATATATTTCTGTTTGTGTGTCAGCATTCAGCATAGGTTCTGGATTCAGCTGTTACAGTTTGAAAAATGTAATAATAGTTTAAAATGACTGCTTAGAAGTAGATTTCCTCTGAGAAATCAGCTTTTAACTCCACAAAGTGTACCGTAACACTGCCATATTTATGCTGGCATTTGCTTTTGATTCCACATGTTGCCTCTTCAACTTGAAAGATGGTCTGTAACCTCAGGGAAGCTTTTACCATTTCCGATTTTGGATGTTTTTATGGTCTGAGTGATTGAATGAAAGTTAAAATACTTAAGTGTATCTCAACCACATGTTTGAAACAGTTTTTATATTATAGACTTTTTTATTACACTTTCTCAGGTTAGATATCTTAAAGGATCTAGTCTTCTGAGTTTGGTGGAGTGTGTGTTGTAAAAGAACTGCTGTGTTTTCCGGACACACGCATGTATCAGGTCCCTGAGTCCCTTTGGTCCCTTGATCTGGCTCATCAGATGGGTGGGTCTGCTGCATGGGGAAGATGCTATCAGGTCTTTCTGTTTGCTTCTTTCTGTACCCAGAGGCTGAGTTAGTCTCTCTTTTTTAATATCTGCTCCATGATTTTGTCAACATTCCTGCTCTTGCTTTGGAGAACATCGTCTTTTCAGACTTCTTTGGACTGCATTAAATACTTCAGGACTTTGTTGTACTGCATGTACTCATTTTGCCGACTTTTTCGTTGGTTGTACGTTTGTTTGTGAGTCCTGCATTTGGACACAGATAGCGTCTTTTATCTTTTCTCTGAATGTAAAAAGAGCTTTTCACGCTGGCGGGGCTTTGTGATCCAAAATTGCAACCATCTGTGCAACCTGTTGTCCCAGATGAGGCGACACAGACAGGTAACTAAAGTGTATGCAGAATGGAGAACAGCTCATGCTGTGTGTGGTAAACATCTCTCTTTTTTTTCTTTTCTTTTTCGATTTTCCAGGTCAGCCCAGCTCCCGAGCAGCTTCCCAGACCAACGTGTACCTCGATGCCTTCGGTTACCGTGACAACCAGGCCTTTGACACAATGAGCATTGACAGTACTGATTCTATTGAAACCAGCATCTCTGCCTGCTCACCTGACAATGTCTCCAGGTCAGTGTTCACAGTAGCTGTTTTTGTGCATGCACAGATGAAGGTCTGTACTGTGTCCTACTGTCACGGTTGTATAAATGTAATTTTACTTGAAGGTTTTAGCGCATTAACATGAACCACTGCTGCTCCCATCACTCCTTTAGTCTGATGTAAAAAAGGTTGAGAAACAAAAGGCAAACTGTTTTCAAATGAATAGGATATGACAAAAGACAGAGAAATATTAAAACTTGAAAACACAAAAATGTCCCTTTGTGTCTATAATATGAAACATTGACTGAAGGAAGGAGATGGGGGGGGGGGCAACCAAGAGAGTAGAAAGTGAGTTAATGTAAAAAGTGTGTGGAGAGGTTTCCCGCCTTGCATGGTCCCTCCTTAGGAATAAGATGTGTAGTACTGTGTGTATTGTATGAGTTAGCAGGGGACTCTTGATTAGTGTTCCAAGGGTCAAGGTTACGGAAGACGGAAAACATGAAGGTGTGTGTGTTTATGTGTGCATATGTGCGTGTGTTCAGTCAACCCCCACTGGTCCAGATGAACTGAGTAAACCAGTATAAATGTGGAGGTACATTTCAGGGGTCCACCCCCCTGTCTGGACTGAAACCATGTGTGCTTGCTTTCCTTCTCTCCTTTTTTACAGTGGTTGCATCTGTCTTTTGTCTCCCCTCCTCTTGTTCCTCTGAATGGTATGCTCTTGGTTTCTGCGTAAGGTTTCACAGTCGCAAACCATTTGCAGATTGACCTCTCTGCATTGTAAGTTTTCCTGGAAGAGAGACTGCCTCAGTGATCCTCGGTATGCTCTCAGTCGGACTGTGTTGTACGGCCTTACATTGGAGTGAAAGATGTGTGCAGTAGAGTCTGGATCAGTGCTGGACACAGAAGTAGTTTGAGGATAGAACTGGATTTCTTTTACATCTTGTCAGCGATGTATCCTGATCCCTGGAGTTACAGGTGTTGGAGCAAGACTTCAAAAACTCTTAAGTAATCCAAATTCTCGATTAGAGAGGTTTGAACTGGACTGTTCGACGATGACCATGAGTGCGATTCCCTCTCATCGACGGAGGTAAGAGAATGGAAGAGGAATGCAGGAAGAGGGGAAAAGATGGATGTTAAAATGAGGTTGGAGAAAGTTTAGAGTCATTTATTTCAGTTTAGAGTTTATTTTATTTAATATTATTGAAGTCGTTACAGGGAAAAGTTTATTTCGATTGTTAATACAAGTACTGGACTAACATTTTGCAAACAATGCAGCCGAAAATACTGATGTAAGTAATTATGCCCTTCAGTCATATTAAGTTGTATTCTCTGTTAGATTTCACTTCTTTTTTATTTCAAATGATTATTTGAGTACATTTGCAGCCTGCAAAAGAGAGAGGGATTGAGATGTGTGGTAATGATTTTGCACTAAGCTGGCAGATGCATTTGAAACAAAAACCAGGGAGCGGGAAACTTTTTTTGTTTCTTTTTTTCAAATCTTCCCTCCTGATCCTTTTTTCTCTTTTTTGATTACTTCGGTTACCCCACTTTTCTGTCTCTCTTTCTCTGTCACTCTTCTTTCCTTCCTGATTTGTTTAGACTGAGTCTAATGTGTACCATTCATCTTAACAATGTTGTGCCATCATCACAGATCAACACTGAGTATCCATTTCCTCTGGCCCTGAGTGTGTGTGTGAGTGCTTGAGTGGGTTTGTGTGTGTTTGTTGCCTTTTTAGTAGGAGCTTAAGCAAGAAAATGAGGGGGATGATTATAGAGAACGAGGGAGGAAAAATATAGTTAAACATGACAAACACACAAAATTCCTTCCTTGTGATGTCAGTCAATGCATTTCATGTGTAGACCGTGTGCTGTCTCTGAGACCTGAAGCTAGACAAGGCGGCTGTTTTCAACTAAACACAGACAGTGACACATCAGATAGTCAGAAAGTCCTGTGTGAAGAGACAGCTGGTCCAATCCTTACATCTTCTTGATTTTCAGACTTTCCCACCATAAAAGGCCTTCAATCAGTATGATAACAACTTTTTAATGAGGTTTCTCTGTACTTCAACCACTTTGATCTTATTTCTCAAACATGGATTGATCTTACAGTGGACTCGTCTTTAAGTATTTCTGTAATCTCACTACGTTGGCACTGACCTGAAGATTCACAGAAAATGTAACACCTGGAAAAACAGATGGAGAACTCCATCTGGATTCAGTTTGTCACGCTTGCTGCGAGTGTAGCAGGTTTAATTGATTGACTTGGCAGCTGCCCAGTTTCATTACATTTCAGTGTATTTCATGTTCAACCTCATGAAAGTTGATTTGGTGTTTGTATTTTCAAGACCATGTTTCTAATGTGTGTGTGTGTGTGTGTGTGTGCCGCAGTGCCAGTACTTCCAATGTGGCCAAGCTAGAGGAGATGGAGCGTCTGCTGAGAGAAGCCCAGGCAGAGAAGATAAGCCTCATAGAACACAAGGTCACTACAAGATAAAACCATAATCACAGTTACATCCCTTACAGTGTATTAATAGTAGAGACAGGCCATGTATGGAGAGCCTGAACTGTCCCTGGAGTTACATTTATAATAAATATGTCAATTTAAACACAGAAACGTCTTTGTATGCTAACAAAAAAAATATAGAAACTCTGTAAAATATTTCTGCGATTATTAAAGAAAAAAAATGTAACCAGTCAAATTATTCCTCAGGAGCGAGAGATGGGCATACGAAAGCAGGCACTAGAGGAGGAGCGGAGAAGAAGGGAGGACCTGGAGAAAAGGCTACAAGAAGAGACGTGCAGACGCCAGAAACTCATCGACCGTGAGGTGAAACTGCGAGAAAAACAGAGGGCACAGGTGAGAAAGAAAAACCATTTCATGGGCACGTATAAAGACTTGTGCTTCATCTTCATTCAGAATCTCTCACTGTGTGATCCTTCTTTGGTAGAGATTGTTGTCATAACTCACTTTATCTGATCTAGATTGTACCATGTGAAGAATTCATAAAGGACACAAAGGATGTCATTTCATTTTTACCCCTTAGATCATTTAGATTTATTCACCTTTAAAGTAGTTGACCTTTCACTCTTTGGACAAATCTTTCCATCTTGTTTCTGTAGCTGATTTATGTATGTTTCATGCATACTCCCCTCCTTCTGCATGGTTTCAATCATGTCTGGCAGGTTATAGTATACGCTTCATCCATCTTCTTTTGTTCTCTGTCCTGGTTCATCAGCTGTTGGCAGCAGATGAAAGAACTTGAATCTGTCTTACCATATGATACACATCTGCATGATTACATAAACACCTCATTGTTATTGCATATTCCATCTCCTCTGCAATGAACCCTTCCACTCTTTTCCCTCCAGTCCCGGCCGCTGACACGATACCTGCCGGTGCGAAAGGACGACTTTGACCTGCGCGCTCACATTGAGTCTGCCGGCCACAGCACAGACACATGCTTCCACTTGTCCATCTCAGAAAAAACCTGCCGTGGCTACTTGATCAAAATGGGAGGCAAGATCAAAACCTGGAAGAAACGCTGGTTTGTCTTTGACCGTAACCGACGCACGCTCTCCTACTATTCAGGTAGAACAAGCAGCCTCCAAACTACTACATACAAAAAATACATTTTTATATTTTGTAATTCCGTTGTTCAGAATGTTTTATATAAAATATAAATCAATGAACTGAACATGCTACACTTCATTTCCTCACAATTGTGTTTCTATATTTGTATGTTAAAACACCCATCATCTTCTGCAGACAAACATGAAGCCAAACTGAAAGGAGTGATCTACTTCCAAGCTATTGAAGAGGTGTATTATGATCATTTGAAGAATGCACATAAGGTATGTGTGCATTTGTATTTATGTTGCTACAAACATGTTTTATGCAGGTATCTGATATCTCTAATTCTGACTTTTCCTTCTTCCTGTCACCTCTGCAGAGCCCTAACCCGTCTCTGACCTTCAGTGTGAAGACACACGACAGGGTCTACTACATGGTCGCTCCCTCTCCAGAGGCCATGAGAATCTGGATGGATGTGATCGTCACAGGTGCAGAGGGGTACACGCAGTTCATGGTGTAGGAACATGTGCCATCCTGCTGCCGTGACCCTTTCTGGCTTTAAAGACTTCCGTTTCCCATTTTATCTTCAGATTTTGAAAAATGATGAACGGACATTATAGTCACACATGCTGGAGAATTGACTCATTTTCTGTTCTAAAGACAGTGGCCTCAAGACACTCGAGATTCAGTTCTCACTTAAGAACAGTTCTTGCGCCTTATTCAGGAGATGTGCAGGGTTTACCCTCCCATGCCGGTCCGGGTTCTAACTCCAGAGAGGTTATTAAGTGATCTATGGCCCACTGTGGTGTCATAGAGTAAACTCATGTGTACATCAAAAGAGATTATTGTCAAAAAATGTTTTAATTAACTCTATTTTTCACAAGATTAATAAAACCCATTCCCTTAAATCATGAGCAGAATGTGACTCAAAGACAGATTGGCTAAATGAACCACTTTTAATAAATACAGAAGTGAATCAGAAAATGGATTCAGAAACGTTTAATGCCAACCAATTAACTTTTTCACCAGAACAATAGAAATTTTAAAATGGGTTCAACCAATTCTAAACAGTTTCTGTTGTGTTTGTGTTAAATAATGCATAGTGATTTAGTAAAGTTAGTTTTATTTACTTTCTTTTGTTTTGATTAAACTCCATGTATCCTTACTGTGGCATACTCAGGTCTTAACTGTGGATGAGCATGCATGCTCAGTATGCTCATGTGTGAGTTTATACACAGTCACTAAAGAAGTGCCTGTTCAGACTTTATATACACATCCATTTACTGGGAGCTTTGAAAATAGCTCCAAGGTGCTATTCTTACACACTAATGATTTTAATCACACCTTGTGTAAAAACATTAAGATCAGGGTGTAAGTAAGCACTCATCTTTGTGATTATCTGTTATTTTTTAATGTGGATTTACCGCTCTGAGTTTACAATAATGTTACCACAGACTCAGAAATAAAGTTCAAACAACTGTCATAATATAGTTACTGCAGGTGATTTTTTTGTTTTACATATATATATAAGTATATATATATTGACTATTAAGGGTCTACTTTTTCGATTTGTACATTTTGTTTCTAAGTTGTAGTTAGTTTTAAGACAGTTATTGTGCATGATCAACTCATGACTCCTATTTGTGCCTTTTTTTAATCATATTTTTGTGACAGTATTTTAACATCAGTGTTTAAGGGCTCCATGTATCTACATTATAAACTAAATGCCAAGCTATCTGTGCTGAGGAAACACAAATGTGGAAAGATGTTCCTGAGTGATTTTTCTTTTTTCTTTAAGAAAGTAGGATTAGGTTGTCTTTAAATGTGTTGAAATGGTACACACACACTCAAGTAGAGGCCTTAAGTCATCAAGACCGACTGACTGATTATTGTGCTGCTCTGGTCCACGAGCTTTTAATGCATCGCTTTTATTACCACTAATTCAGCGCCAGCTATTCCACTTTGAACACTAAGGCTGCTTTTTGTATCGTTTATCATAGTCTTGCCTCTTGGCATTGTATTTCTGTTCTGTTTTATCGACCAAAGTCAATGTTTATGTGGTGAAATGTATATGTGGTTTCTTTGCTTTGACTTCTCTTTCATCAGTACAGTGAGAGAAAGAGGATATCTGTTTGTGTTTTTAAGACGAGTACCTGGATGTTTTCCACCAACAAAAAGGGGGCTGTGATAAAGGAAGCGTCATGAGCTTTACTTCTCTTGGAGTTATTATTTTTTATGTGGATTACACTGTATTTATGCCATAACCAATGCATGTATCTTAATTTTATATTCCCTTAAGAATAATAAAAAATGATATATTTTACCTTTTATTCAGTGTTCATGTTTTAATGAGAAAATAAACATTGCCTCTTTTGCAGGGATAAGTGCACTGTTTTGACGACAACAGTCACTAGTATCAGGCACAAGACACAAGTTATAAAAGAGAGGACTAAATTTAAAGCATTCAGGTCTTGGTTGAAAAAACAAAACTCATCCTCCTCTGATTGATTCACAATCGAAGTGTGGTTAGCAGTTATACATTAGCCTACATGTAAGGTACACTTTTCAATTTTTTAATTAATTTAAACATTAATTGATAAAGACCTAGTTTGAATTGAATAAGGTATCCAGCTTGCATTAAAAAAATCACAAAGTAGCACTTGTTTATCTAATAAAATCCTTGGGGAGGATCCCAGACCCCCTACAGAGGCCAAGGCCCTTCAAAAAGACTCAATGACTTCAGTCCTCTCACATAAATCAGCCATGGACCTATTCTGTAATCTCATGTCAGTAAAGTAGATCTCTATTGGATCACTGTGTTGTATAATTACATGGGATTTATGTAAAAAAAAAAAAAAAAACATGCTCTGATGATGATAGATAGACTACCAGGAAGAGCCAAAAGATTGTCTTACAAGTGTCGGTACGAGTTATGAACATGGAAGTGGAGCACCACCATGTGGCTAACAGCGGTACTGTCAGACTCTCGGCATCAGATACATAGTGAATGTACTGATCCAGGCCTAATGAGCAGCACTTTGTACTGTTATAACTTTCTTCCAGTGCTACAATGTAACAGCCTACATACATAACATGAAGTAACAATGAAGTGAAAGGAAAAGGATGATTTAAAATACGTTTCATCCCTCTTTGGTTCAGGTGTACATGTGTGACTGTAGCCTTAGAGCCTTACTCATTGGCTTGCTGGCATATCCCATCATGCTTTGCGGTCCTACTAAATAAAACAGTTTGAGGAAAAAGAGGTGTGGGCGGCTAAATCCTGTAAATCGGAGACGGCGTTCATGTTAAATTGTGCGGGCAAAGGAAGGGCTCTACAACAAATCATGCACGGTGCAGATTTGGTCCGCGTAAATAATAACCTACCACCGTAACCCTGACTTAAAAACGCCAACTTTATCAATCATATAGACTATGTTACCTCAATGTTAGGGTACATTTGAGGCTTATGTATCCAAGTGTTTAGCAGCTCTTGCCCCTCGTTCAATTTATCAATCGCTATTTAATTTCGCAGTAACGCTGGTATGAATTAGCTCATGATATATATCAAGTGAACTTGTTGATATGTAGTTTGTACCTTGTCTGTCACCATTATTCGTAAGCCTTTCCACTATGTAGGCCTTCTAACAAACCCCTTGAAGTCAGCAAATAGAAATATGAAAAAAACATTATAAACCGTGAGTGAACTCAGTTTGACAACGAGGTGCTATATATACTCTTTGACTTGCTGTGTTTTATTCGGTTGGTCCGATGACAGTGCGATTTCAAATGAATGCTACAGTCAGAATCAGAAATCCTGTTTCTCCTCCCTCTCTCACTGTCGGCCTCGACCAGCCTTTTGATATTATTTAGCCAAAAGTGCAAGTATGCTGCCAATCCTTCAGTTTAGCAGGTGAAGCCGTCAGACTTGTACACACAGTGACTGATATTTTGCAAGATGTAGCCTATACTGTGTAGCTGCACTTCTCATATGTAGATCAGCTGAAGATGGTCTGTATTCAAAAAAACTAACTCTGCCATTGCACTTTAAATTGCCACTTCATCTGTTTTTCCACTTAGTCACTTTATCTAGTCACTTTAAATTGTTGTTACTAGTTTTAATGTTTTTCAATCAGCTTTGCTTGTTTGCTCGCTCATTTAAACTATTTATAACCACATTATTGTCTTTGCATTTAATCTCATATTCCAACCTCTACATTTTTCATTCTCATTTGACTTATCTAGCATCACAGTTCTAGAGGAAGAACATTTTCGACTCACTGTGTACTTTTTTTGTATATGGTTGAAATAATAATAACTTGGCTTGACTTGTAGGCACAACAAATGATGCATTTAAATGACTAATGAATTTCACTTGATGTACTGGTCAGTAAGAGTATAGGCTTCCTATTATTGAAAATGAAATACACTTCAAATATTGTTTTATAGTTTGAAACCATAAAAAGGTAGGTGTGAACTAAATAATGCAATTTTCCTATTTCCCAACCCTCAGTAAATTTTGATTGGGTCACCATTGAGTTACCCTAAAATACACTGAAACATAACACACCACTGTGTTCTTTAAAGTAGGACACTTAAGAGAAGTAAAGCCCGGATGTGTTGCCTTACTTGGGTCTTTTAGGTTTCAAACAACAACATAATTCTTAAGGGGGGAAAGTGTGTGTACATACACATTATGGGATTTTCTTTTCAGGGTAGGCTACATGAAAGGCCTCTTTTAATTTTTTTCCTACCTCAAAATGTTTGCACAATGCAACTGTCAGCTCTGACTCACATGTCTTTTACTGATAACTGATAAAAGTACAATGTCAACAAACGCCTCGGTAAGGAACCATTGACAGGCTGAGTTTGCACATAGCACAGCAGATGGTCAGTGACTCTGTTCACATGCTTGCATGGATTTAAGAGTTAATATTTTCCAGCAAGTTTGGGGTGAGGGTCAAGTGTATGTACACTTCTCCTTTGTTCAATACTGAATTAGGATAAAAGGACCATTTTTATATTCACAAGTTTTTACACTCATCTTTTAAATCTGTTTGAATCTGTAAGTGTTCTGGGAACTTTTTTAATTGACAACAATGTTTGAAATATATTTTTCATATAACACCATAAACCATTGGTCTGAAGCAAACCAGTTCACAATATTGTCGGCCTGACTACATGTCTGCAGTGTACACACAAGTCTTGCTCCTTTAAATCATAAAAGTGTAACTTCATATTGCTGCCACTGGTCATTTAATCTGTCATCTGGCCTCTGATCAATGTGCATGGGAGGGTTCCTCAATATAGCTGTGGACCAAAACCATAATAAGTCATTGGGAGTTGAACCTGCTGCTTTATGTATTCCATGTCTCCCCTTTTTGTTTTATCTGTTCTACTTATGTGGCCTATATTTTCTTCTCATTTTATTTCAATTTGTGGAGTGGATGGGTTGGATTACAACCAAACCATGATGTGTCATGTAGAATAACCACCCTGTGAATCCTTGCCCTCTCATTTGGTCATCCAGCATTATAAATTGTAACACGCATTGCATGTAGGAGAAAAAAAAAGATGAATGTAATTTAGGGCATTGACAGTTTCAGTGAATGGGATGTTAAAGGATTCATTGATAATAAGATCAGTGGGCCACGGCTGCAGTGAGTGCTTCAGCGGCTATCCTGTCTGATTTCTCCCCTGGATCAGTTCAACAAGCCTTGGCTATAAATAGAAACAGTGAGTGTTCTTGGGCAGACCACTGTGGTAGTGTGTGTGTGTGTGTGTGTGTGTGTGTGTGTGTGTGTGTGTGTGTGTGTGTGTGTGTGTGTGTGTGTGTGTGTGTATCTTTAAGAATTCAGCTGTAACTCGAGCCCTACAGGCTAGAGAGAGAGAGAGAGAGCGAGAGAAAGAGGGGGGGAGAGAGAGACACCAGTCACCCTTCATCGTTTTTATAATCGAGCGTCGAGCTGCATGATCTGCACCTCTGCAATCACGCATGTTCCGTGTTGGGTTGGCTTCTCGGTAAACAGCGCAGCGCTGGCGCAGGCAAACAGCTCCGGGCTCGCTGCTGCTGCCGCTGCTGCTGCTGCTGCTGCATCCCCCACAAGTTGTTAGCGTGTGTGGAGGCAAGAGGCGGGCTGGCTTGTTTATCAAAAATGACTCGACATGGCTGTGGCTTCTTCTTTCGCTCAACACACTCGGCTTTGCGAGCGACCCTGGAAACCATGACACGTTAAGTGAGAGTGAGGCGCAGATCATCTTGATGAAAGTCATAAGGTAAGTCAACTTTGGATCGTGTATGTTTTCACACCACGGTGATATTTTTTTTTTCTTCTTCTTTTCTTCCTCCACACATTTCCCAGCAACAGCAGCTGGCCAAGCCAATGCGACGTGAATTGGCCTTGTGTGTGTGTGTGTGTGTGTGTGTGTGTGTGTGTGTGTGTGTGTGTGTGTGTGTGTGTGTGTGTGTGTGTGTGTGTGTGTGTGTGTGTGTGTGTGTGTGTGCCTACCGTTCTCCTTTAGAAAAACCTGTTTACACCAACAGTGGGGGTTGTCCTGCGTGGTTGTTTTCGGGTTCTTTTTGACAAGCATCTCTAAAATGCGATCCGGGGATGCACATAGCCGAGTTATTTTCGTGGAGCGATCGTTTCCTCTCGTCTTACGCAAGCGCACGTTAACCTTGTGTAGCCTACCAGTCGTTATAGAAACATTCCAGTGGGAAAACGGTCTCCTCTGTGGAAATAGACATCACTTACAAGAAAATGAAACCTGTTTTGTAGGCGGGTCCAAACACTCAGACAATAAATCTGAATAGGTCTGAATAACACTGCATGTAGATTTGAAATTAACTCCTCTTAACTCTTAATGTTCACTTTGTAAATGCATTTTCATGTACAAAGATTTGTATGATGATTTTTTTTCCACCAGTCTGAATTGTTTTCATAGTAATAAACACTTTCTATGAAACATGACAGGTCTATCTTTTAATTAAGGCAAAACAAGTCCTCCAGGCGGAACAGATTTTAAGAGGAAGTGTGTGAGCAGGTTGTTTTCTCTTACCTAAGAAAAAAAAAAGAAAGAACAAACTGGTTTTATTGTTTACGTCTTATCGTTGCTCATAGTTTCGTTGGCTCATTAAAAGTGTTGCAAGTTCACCTTTTGACTCTGCGAAAAACACCGTCACGACAACAACCAATGTGTTTGTTCAAAAGTATTTTTGTTGATGTGTTCTTGTCTGCTGAGACTGCTTTGCTGTCCATTGTGTTGCAGCTGTTTCCTCTCCTTAAGTGACCTTTGTAACCGTTTGCCCTTGGTAACAGGGTCATGCCCGGGA